TTTCCTATCAAAAATATGTACATACACATACAACTTGTCATCTATGATTGACAGTAGCTAAAAATAAGGTTAACAGTCCTAAAGCATGCTTTACAATTTAATGTCACTCAAGTGACATTAACGACCAAAGTATTTTGTCTCCAACTGTAACTACCGTTAAGTATATTGTTAAGATTAAAAAAATGGACCTCTACAGAAGAAATAAACTAAACCACTCGTCTGAATCAGCAGAAATACGTCGATTATGTTGTTAAAATTTTACCTAATTTTTAAAAGAATTTTATCAAAGTTAATTCTAAAACAATAGTTTAATGTCTCCAAGTACCATTTTGTTTATTAACTTTTTGAAGTTACGAGAGACAATAAACGTCAAATAGCATTGTCATTGTCGCCCGACAGCTAGGGGTGACTAAAATTCGGTAGGTAGTATCGTTTTTTTATAGCCGCCCATGTCTTTGCATCTTCAGCCACAACTTAATTCTTTTTTTCTTGTAAAAAGGACCTCTTTCAAAGACAGATTTTTAAGTAATTTAGCATTTTTAAAAAGCGTGTTAAAATCACATTTTATATAATGCGATATTAATGTCTACCTAGTAAGTAAATTTCGTTAGAATCCGTTGGCAAAAATAGAGATATTAGATCAGAAAGTCTCAGGTGGGACATCAGTATATCTGTATCCCTTTATATAAAACTTAGATATTATAAAAAGAATAGTTCTAATAATTCTAACAAAAGAAAAACAATTTAACAGATGTGAATTCTTTGATATTCCACTTCCTACAACAATATTTTTATTATTTACAATAAGTCAAAGTTAACAAAGTTCATAACCTTTTGATTAAGACCAGTCAAAGATTACTAAAATTATCATTCCATAATTCACTCCACTCAGTATAACGGTTGCTAGTCATCAGTAAACTTTCAAATATTTTTGAAAATGAAGTCAATAATATTTGTGGCAATACTTCACTGTATTTGTAAGTAAAATGATCTTCGCATCCAGAAACTGAGTGAAGTTTTACTGCAGATTTAGCCACTGCTGAAAATGAACCTTTTCAACTACCTGACTCGATCAAAGATTTGGAAATACCAGACATGGACGAGTTTGCTGTAATTAAAGAAAAATGTGATAGAGAAGGAGGAAACGGAACCTATCTCAAATTCAAGGTACATGCTGCAATATTAACAATTTTTTTGTCACAATAGAATTTTGCAGTCAACTGCAAACTCCCTTTCGTCATGTATGTCAGAATTTGTTTCCTTAAGTTCTTTGGAAGCAGAGGTTACAGAATCAAAAAAAACCGGTTCCATGGACGAAGTTTTCGGAAAATATTGCAAAAAACGTTCACAATTAGTAACGTGTGCTCAAGGTTTCATCGATAATCTTCGTCTCTGTCTAAATACGGAAGAGAAAAAAGCTCTTAATATAACACTGAATATTTTAAAGGAATTGGGTGAATTTGCCTGTTTCAAAGACGGTGACAGGATTGCCAGTAATTACTAAAATTCTAAATTTCCGAAAATTAAACCAAAATTTTAGTGTTTGTTGCCGAGGGTGGGGTCGAATGTATCAAAAGTCGAACCGAAGGAATTCAAAATTGTGTCAACTCGACATTTAAAATCAGCCCACAAAGTGTTAACCCCAACGCAATTCCGAATATATTGATCGATAAGAAGAAATGCGAGTGAGTTAGGAATGAGTCACAAAACTTTGTATTTTTATGCTTTAATAAAATTGCAGCGATTTAGGCAAACTTCAGCGTTGTGTTGTCGAAGAGTTGGAAAAGTGTAAAGATAGCACCCCGGCTAATATCGTTGATGCACTTTTTAAGTTTGTCAAACGTTCAGCATGTTCTAATAAAAGTAAAAGAAGTGCAAATTTTCGTAAGTTTGGAACTGTTGTACTAAAAAGTTGTAAGCTTTATTAATTTTAGACCGCATTTTCAAAAGAAATGTAGCTACGGTCAACCATTATTTCAATTCGTCAGAAATAAATAGCATATTTGAGTCTACATTTAGGGAAAAATGTAAAGATGCTCCTGAAAACGGCTTTAAATCTGCTCAAGTACAAAGTTTGAATTTTTTAGTCGTTATTCCATTTTAATAATTGTAGGAAAGCTTTAAAATTGCTAAGAAATGTATCCATGATAAGACTAACGAGTATCCTATTTTTACCACACCTGTAGAGAGATTTCAAGAAGAATTCAAAAAGTGCACTGACGATTTTGTAGAAAAAGCGAAAGTTTGTCTACCAGAGAAAGAAAAATATTTCCCTGAATTTTATCAGAAAATCTTCATAAATTTTATAGAGTTTTTGTACAACAACGAAAACACAATTCGTAAGTTCCCATTACTTATTTTATAGCCCCTTTTTGAATTACTGTTTACAGTGAGAGTGTCATCCAGATCTGAACTTGTTAACTGCTTCCAAAATTTTAAGCAACATAAAGCGAGATCTGAAATGAGCAAATGTTTTCACGCATTTGAATCAGCCAGTTTAGAAAAAGATGCAGTTTGCACGTAAGTCACAAATTTTAAAATTTGCTTTGGTATAGTTATCCAATTTCAGAAAAATAACAAAAACTAAAAGTTGTGTTACTGGACAATTACAGAAGAGATGCATACGCGATGTTACTGTTAATCACTTAGTCGACGACTTTTTCGAGGTGTTGCTAAGTCCTTGTGATAAAAGTGGTTAAAAAGAGATTATTTCCACCACTGCATAATGGAACTTCAATACATTATATTAGATATATTCTTGACTAACTTAAATAGACAAACTTTAGTTTTTTGCAGGTATATTATTGCAACAACTTACTTTCTACCTCTCCTTTTTCCATCACAACAATGACATTAGGCTTAAATACATTGAGTCAGAGCGCAACGAGTACTTATCGCTAGGTACATACTCGTAAATATCAATAAATATTTCTGCAACTACGAGTTATTTTGTCAAGTTACTCGACTATACAGTAAATTATTTAATTTATCAAAAAATACAAATTATATCCATTATCCAACTTAATGGAAAACACATACAATAAAGAACTTTGTAAAGACATATGATTAGTGACGTAATTTTCCTTTTGCACTTATTATCACACTACATTTGTTTGTCTATCATATAGGATGATTAACAAGGAATAATGAGTCTGACCTTGAAGCAACCACCATTACATTTTCGCAAGTTGCCTTGCGATATTTAAAAAATATATACAGGGTATTTCACGAGTGATAATGAGCCTGACGGAATTGAAAATACAACCCACAATACATTTGTAAACGTAACGTGGATATTTTAGATATCGCATTGTTTGAAAAACCGACTATGAATCCAAGATAGCCTTGCTTCCAATAATTTTATTTGTCACAACTGACATTAAATTTAGCAAAAAGTTAAAATGCATTAGAACGATGAGAAAATAGATCAGATTCTCATTTATTTTAATAGGTATGTACGTATATACATATACCCATTATTGTGTTGGTATTACAGTTACTTCTGTTTTTCATTATTCGAATGTCAAAACTGACAAATTGAAACCTGACCTATGAAAATGTAATGTTGGTTGCATCGAGAATTTGGTCAGGCTCATTATTTCTCGCCGTGAATCACCTACAATCCTATAATTAAACATTTCCACATGCAAATTGTTTGCCATGTTTTAGTAGTAATTTTTGTGTAAAATAACCCACACACTTCGAGTACAAAAGGCCCTTGTCGATTTGGAATCACCTTGACCATCAAAAATCCAATTGTGTAAAATTTTGAAAAATTAAAATTAGACAATTTTTATGTTTATTCTACTCTCTACGTGAGACAAGTCTCGTAATACCTACTATGTTTTATCTTCTGTCTCCACATCCCTAGAAATTGGTTTGGAAACGTAGGGTATTAACCAACATCTTACCAAAAAATGGATTTTGTTGCACAAAAGTTGAACAAATCACTCATTTCTGTTATCTCTCCATCTTACGTTGTTATCTCCTCTCTTCACAACCTGTAACAGAAACCTGTATTTTCGTAGCAGTTGGTAGGCAACCGGCAAAACCGAAAAGAGAGATGCAAAAGCTTCAAAATGGCTGCTTGACTACCTGTAAACTTGTGTTTTTAACTCGAAACTGCCAAACAAACCATTTATTTAATCAGAAAAAAATTGCAAAACACCATTAAAGTGAAAAATTTTAGCGATAGAGCCTACTGTGATTTTTTTAGTGACAGTTTTATTCAAAAATCGGTTTTTAAATACCTGTGTCAATGTACTTATGTTGAGGTACAGTCTGTGTTAAAAAAAAACAGGTAAGAGTTTTAAATCTCAAAATATTTTTATTAATAAGTTCAGTATCTTTTATTCCGTATTTTTCAAGTCTAGTCATTATTTGATGAAAAAAGTGGTTCGCAACACTGTGGGTAATAATAATAACAACAATAAAAAAAGGAAACGCGAAAAATTAGATATGCAGATATGTAAAAACGGGAAGCTTGGCTTCCTGAATTATCTCATATGCTAAAATTCCAATTTATTATCATTTATAATTAAGCAATACCCAAGGTTGTTTAATTACATTTTATAGAGCATAAACTCAATTGCAAAAAGCGCGAATGAAAGTAAATACGTCCAATAAAATCGAATTTTAATGAACTCTTCTCTATTAATTGGACATGTCTGATTATATTCAAGACAGTGCACCTAAAACAAAAATGAGTCACCACTTAATCCAAGCGAAACCCTATTCATCCCCACATGTTACACAGGGGTAACATACCTTCTATACAAATTTGACGGTCGATACTATACAAAAAATAAAAGTGCTAGCAGGTATATACCTACTTGAAAAGCTTCTTTCTCAAAAGCTTTTGTTTTTGCACACCCTTCACATAAAAAAGGGATTTGTAATCAGGCTACAAAACCTAGCTTTAGTTGTATTTCAGCTTTGCGGTGTTTCGGGGTGAGTTTTAGCGTTTGCCGCCCAAAACACACCTATAAATTTTTTTCACAATTAAAAAACTTTTACTTTCCGTTATATTGTAAGCTCATTTCTTCTATGATTGATCCGACATGTTTTTACAGTGTTAAATCTTTCATTGCTCACCCAACCTTAACGTTTGTTAACCGAAATCACCTGCTTTGAATATCAAATTGATGGTGAGACAAAAGAGGTTTCAAATACTTAGGTATGTGCTCGCAAATGAAAAATTACGCGTCCGTGAATATTTTTTCGTAAAAATCTCTTTAAATCACCTTCACGTGATGCATGGTACGTAAGAGGTGAATTTATTGCTCTCTCACTAACAATAATTTTAAATGTCAGAATAACCAACCAGTTGAACATAAAAGTAAATAATTAAATTGCCGCAGGACGTTGTAAAATATGTAACTGTAATTTAGAATAGGCTTAATTAGGGAGTTGATTTGATCGGTAGCCGGTAGCCACATTTTTCTTCTGGAATTGATTTATTTTTTCAACATTGCTGCGGACAATTATAATTAAGATAATTGCAAAGGAAGGCATCCATTGAATTACTTAATTTAATTTTCGCAATAATTTATCAAACGAATGTAATCAGCACAATAATGTACAGAGTGTCTTAAGTTAGTTCATCAGATCTTTCAACAAAAATAGAATTAGAAGTCTTACTTAAGTCGCTTTGAACAACATTTAAAGAAATATTGTTAGACATTAAAATTCCAAAATTTCATTATTTTTTTTTCACAGAAAATATTGCAACATGAGTTGCAGGAATTAAAACTAATCTCAGTAATCTCTCATAAAATTAGTTGATCGTGTCTAGCGTCCGTTTGAAAAGCTAGTTCTGCATTGCAACAACTCTATCATACATAAATTTCTCCCTTTGTACCAATAAATCTGTAAACTTCGTAACTGTAGTGAAATTCATTATCTACTTTTGATAGAACAGTTGGAAACTAACTCCAGCTGTTTGCCTTGTAATTATTGGTAGCAGGTGGTAAACAAAAACTTAAACACATTTCGAAACTTCTTTATACCCTAAAGATCATCGTCGAAAAAACCAGAACATCAAACTTGAAACAAAATTAAATCCGAAGCAATTTACTAGAAATTTATAACTGGAATGACATTAAACCGATAAATTGCGCGTTTCCGACATTTCTTTTGGGAGCAGCGTGAGTCCCAGGAGTCACTAACGTTACTAGTTATATACTACATCCTATTGTCAAAATTCGTTATACAGTGTGATTCAGCAAAGTTTTCTTGACTTATTTACAAATATCGAGCGATCAAGATAATTTGTCAACGAGTCGTCTTTGGATCCGAAAACGTATGTCTGTAAAATGTCAAGTAAAATGACAAGTCGAAAGGTAAAATGACATGATCAAAAAGGTGATGATTATAATAACTAAATTTATAATTTATCTACAAAAAGGAACGGTCCTACTCGTATTATTATACGTCGGCGACTAATTCGAGCCCATTTTACCGTTTTATTTGACGTTTCTCGTGAAGTTAGTTCAAAAACAGACATACGTTCTCAGATGCAGCGATGACTCGATTACAAATTATCTTGTTCGCTCGATATATATGTACAAGGTTACGATAAAATAACACACAAAATTCTTAAAACCCAGTTTGAAAAAAAAAACAATTCTGCGGCTTTTAACATGAATTGAGAAAAAATACGTCAAAAATTCATTCATTAACATTTTCTTTATTTTTGAAAAAACAAGATGGGGTGACGAATTACCACTTTTCACAGTATGTAAATGTAGTTTTATTTTTGAAATTCAATAACGGAAAAGTTCTCATAACGTGAATTTGGTATCCCTAATCTTTTTTCCCAATCTTTGGAAGCATCTGATAATTCCAAAATAATCTGTAATAATTAGTCTAGGTTATTTTGACATTTTTACTTTGTTGAAAAAAGCATTTCTGCTTTTATTTAATGTTTTTATTTCACTTTAAAAATGTTTTTTGTAAACTTTAGTTAATTTTGGAAGATGTACATAAAAAACAAAAAAAAATACAGAACATAATAGGCATGATCTTAAATTATTGATTTATTTTACGAACAAGGTTATGATTAGAATTACAAAGCTGTAATTTTAAAACTGTTAATTTGGTTTTTTTACTTTATTTACTGTTATTTTTTGGCTTTAATAGTACAAAGCTTTTTGCAAGGTTTGAGGATGTAGATAATGAAAATTTTATCGTCGTGTACAATATAAAATTTTATTCAATCCTCACTAATTTCGTAGACAATTTGGTCGATATTTATAAATGTCAAAGTAAAATTCAACAATGAAATCTAATGTCAAAGATCGTTAGCAATTAACAACCGCAGATATACAACAATGGATGTATTTTTTTATCATCTAGACTATAAAATTTCATTTTAACATAAAGAAAAGAGTAGATAAAATTCAATTTTAACAAAGAGGATTGAATAAATGATTTTTAATGCGATTGGCCAAAGCAATTTTCGCTAAAACCCCCTGTATGGCAGCTTTGCTTCTGATTACATTCTCGGAATTTAGCTATTGTCCAGTGACATGTGCGGCTTCCTCAACAAATTGCAATCAATAACATCACACCGAGAATCATACGCCTCTTACCAACCCAGAAATTCGTAGATAGGTCGTTAAAAAAATTTCATTCAAAAGTCACTGATTCGTTCGTAATTTAAGCGAAATTCTTCGAATTGCTACAGTAATCATCCTTTCTTCCAAGCATGAATTTAGCGCATTTCCTACATTCTATTCGTTCCTAACTACAAATTAATAACAAGCTAACATCAGTTCCAAGTTTTGATTCGAATTCATTTAATTAAAATGACTCTCTCGTCTCGTGGTGAGTGACTTGAATACCGACTCGTCGAAATTAGCTCTGCTGAATATTTGCGAATCCTCTTTAGGATTAATAAAATGTCAACCCTTTCAGTTGCGCACTCTCATTGGATCTCGTTGGTCACCAAACCGAAATTAAGACGTTATTTCGTGTTTCGTGTGTGTTGGGATCGATAAAACCTGGCCAGGTATATAAACTAATAGCATTTCATTACACGAAGAAATTAATTTCGTACGGAATGTCGGCGTAGGTATTGGAATTTTATGAGAATGCAGAACTACCGGCTTGTTCAGAATTTCGATAAAGCGTTCTTCTGCAAAACATATTTCAATAATTAATTTCCATCCGTTGTGACATTCGGGTTATTTAAATTTTTATGTCAACAAACTAGAAGAACCGCTTCACACACGTGATCTCTTCTTGTTAACACGGCCGATCGACTCGTGTGTCTTTTACGGCTTTTGTAGCGGTCTGTACGTTATAACAACCTGCTAGGAATGTTTTAATATACTGGAATTAGTCCACAACAAAATCGACTTTATTTAGCTTCGTTTCAAAGGCTGAGATCGCGTGATACCATTTAGTTTACCTGAGACTATAATTAAATGCCACCACTGGGAGTATTCTTTTAAAGTATGAGAAAGTTTTGCGACGACTTACAGGATGCACTTTCCTGCACATAGTATAATTTATCAATCTTTATTTGCCATTTTTATCAACATTGCACATACCTAAGCTGTGGGAAAAATGCAACCATAGAATGGAGCAAAAATGCACCAAACAAATTAAGAGTTGTTAGCTTACTTTAGGAAACGCTATTGTTGATTTATTTTCTTTGATGAAATAGAGTTCTAAGCAAAAATAAAAATAATACAACCGTTTTCTAAATTAATTTGTAAGGTTTTTTTGTACAACAGGGGATAAGTATTTGCCATGGAGTAAGCTTTCGTTACGCTTTAGTGTAATATTTTTTTTTATTTAATTTTTGATAACTTTCAAATTGCATTAGTTGATACACAACAATTTCTCACTTTAAACAACAGTATGGAGTCAGTAGTGGTAAAAGTATTGCATAAAAAGTTGCATTTTGTAACACTGTTCTTTGATAAAACAAAAAAATATTAGTTGCTCAAAGTTCTCTCAATATTTTGGTCGATCGTTTACTAATTGTTGTCCGTCATATTTATTACGGTCAGAAGGTAAATGGAGAGCATTTAAACATCTTATGTAGAATTGTTTTCCTTTTAACACAAATCTTGCATATCAAATTTGACTCTTCGCGCTATTTAAAAAAATATTATGGTAGCTTTGTACCTACTTCTAAACAAACTGAATTTCGAAATGTGAAACTTCTCTTATTAACCTTGCATCATATTTCCGTACAATTTGATACACCGTTTTTCTATATTTTTTAGGGACCCTGTATAATAATAATTTTAATGTATAAGGTGCCGGTATCAAATTGTATCTTAAAATCGTTTTAAATCTATGAAAATCGCATTTTTTTAGAATAAAGGAATTATTCAGCCAAAACCCGCTATTTTGAGTTCTGAAGAAATTGTCATTATTACAAAAAATATCTCACAGTTTTTGAAATACAGTCTCCAAGCTTTTAACATTATACAGGATCTTCCGTTTTTATTGTTACTTTAAATAGTTGATAGAATATTCCATTTTAAGACAAAAGTTTTCTATAAACATGTTTCGAAAAATGCTATGTAAGAGAGCTACACCTCTTGAAAGAGGTGCGTTTTTAAATGATTTTTCCCAAAATTTCAGAATAGTTACAATTACAAAATTCCAAGATGTCGAAATTTTTAATCAGAGGCGTCCTAAACGGTAAAACAAATTTCAATTTTAATTGTTATGCTGTTTACGGTTTGTAAGATAAATTTTAAAACTGATTTTACTCAAAATCGGTAAGTTGTATCTGGAAAACGCAAAAGCCTTTTTTGAAAAACTCGGAAATTTGGAATTTCGTTGCTGAAAGTGGCAAGAAACTATAACCAAAATAGTTACTTTTTACCCTAACCTCAACCAGTTTAGAAAGCCCCTGATTAAAAATTTCAACATTTTATCTTTGGATTCGTTTAGATGCATAAAGGTTATCATCTGTACCTACCAAATTTTGTAATTTTATCTTAATTGGTTTAGGAAATATTGGAAAAAACCCATTAAAAGACGCACCCTTTTGATGCTTACGTAGCATTTTTCGATACATGTTCATAGGAAACTTTTGTCTTAAAATTGAATGTTCTATCTCTTGTTTAGATTTGTAACGATAAAAACGGAACAGCCTGTATATTTTACGTACTTGACTGTTTAAAAAAGTACACAAATAAATATACTGAAGACAAAATCTGCATTGAAACACTTAATTTTAATGAACGTTATTTTCATTATTTCGAAAATGAGAGCCTGTAATTGCTATGAATGGAGAAAACAGGTTCCGAAATATACGTTTTAATATAACTGAATTCTTTACTTTCGAAAAAATATCGTACAAAAATGTATGGAATAAAATATACCTCACATCACTGCTTCCAGGATACGCTTTCTAACACACATTATAAATACTGTAATTATAGTTCATCGAGAATAAAAATTTCACGGGAAGTTCTAACGCTACTTTTGATTTTTTTTCCAGGAATATGAAACCACCTTTACCGTTACGATCGCCGAAAATATGAATTATGATGTTGATCACGTTAAAAAATGATTATAACATTTTCTCTCATGGTTGAGAGGCAGTCCACAATTTATCTTTTCTTATTGTTTTATTTTCTCCATTCTGTTTCGAGTTATCTATTATTAATCGATGAAAAGCAACAACCAGGCGATATTATTTTTAATGCTTCGGTCTACCGACTCGGTTCTGAACGAAAATATAAAATAAATGTCCAAAGATCGGCCCCCTTCGTTGAATCTTTAATCTCCGTTCATCCGACAAATGGACAAGTTTCTCTACTCCAAAACCTGCAATGTGATGGTGTCTACTACCCCAATTTATTCACGGTTCACATCGACTCGACATCGAACCGCCTCAAAGACATCGACTACTATAGTCTACCTCTTCGTATCTTCATAATCGGGTCAAAATGCTCGGAAAAAAGCGACGAAAACTGGGAATACCTCCACGAATCTCGCCGCCGAAGAAGCATCAACCCTTTCCTCACCCAAATTCACCCATCTGTCAAAGAACGCATAACGCAAGCCAAGCAATGGATCTCCGAAACTTTCGCTTCTTTCGCTATCCCCACAACCGGCAAATGGCAGAAAATCTGCCTTCGCCAATCACAATTCATAAACTCAATCTCGGCTTTCCTTCCGAGGACCATAAGCGAATTTTGCTCCGTCACTTTTCACTACGTGAGCGACGATAGATTTAAAATCGAGCACAGCCAGGGCGACTTGGTGGCTAGTGGAGACGAATGCATCGTTGAACCTTTATGGAAAATCACAGTTCTCTTCTCAACACATTGCCACGACATCAAAATTTTAAACTCTGAACATCGGCTCAAAATCGTCTACCACCATCAAATTTTTAACGATACGGATATAGCTAAGCGAGTCCGGAGGGAACTTCGCAACCAATCGCCTTTCTTTGAGAAACCACTCTACGTAGCAAGTGTGCTCGAGGAGTGCGACCCCGGAGTCGTGGTCACTAGTGTCAAAGCTCGTGACCCGGAAAATAGCCCTATAAGTTACTCCATGTCAAGTTTGCTGGACTCGAGGACTCAAGGGATGTTCGATATTGACCCGAAAACAGGGACCATAACCACAAAAGTGAAACTAGACCGCGAGATGGTCGATGTTCACTACTTTAGGGTGACAGCAATGGATGATAGTTTTCCGCCAAGAAGTGGGACCACAATGCTCCAAATAAATGTCTTGGATGCCAATGACCATGCCCCCACTTTTGAAATGAATGAATACGATGCCAGTATCAAGGAGAGTGTCAGTGTTGGCTCTACTGTTATCACACTAAAAGCCACCGACCAGGATGTTGGGAAAAATGCCGATGTTGAATATTCGATTCAGAGTATTAATGGAGGTGGCATTTCGTCAGAAGAGGACGATAATAAAGCTTTTAAAATTGACCCCAAAACTGGGATTATCACAACTAGACTAATGCTAGATAGGGAAACAACCGAGGTTTACACTTTGATAGTCGCAGCTACGGACTTAGCAAGTCCCCAAACCGCCCGGAAGTCCTCAAGTGCCAGCGTTGTGATACATATCTTAGATGATAATGACAATTACCCTCAATTTTCAGAACGCACTTATACTGTAGCACTAGACGAAGACATTGACTGGAGCTCGAACCCAGTTATAGCTCATATCAAGTAAGTATCAAAAATTTAAGGTTTAGCAAGTACTAGTTTTTGAATTTTTGATTACACTACAAAATCGAAATTTTCCAGAGCCACCGACGCCGATCAGGGTAACAACGCCGCAATCCGATACGCGATAATCAGTGGCAATACCCAATCGCAATTCGCTATTGATAGTTTAACAGGGGACGTTTCCTTAGTCAAGCCTTTGGATTATGAAACTTTGCGTAGTTATCGACTGGTTATAAGAGCCCAAGACGGCGGGAGTCCAGCAAGGTCGAACACTACTCAATTGTTAATTAACGTAAAAGATGTTAACGACAATGCACCGAGGTTTTATACATCGTTATTTCAAGAGAGTATACAGGAGAATGCGCCTGCGGGATATAGTATTGTTAAAGTGCAAGCCTACGATGCTGATGAAGGGCCGAATGCTGATATAAAATATACAATTGCACCGAGGGACTCGATTGGGGCTAGCACGGAAGATTTTCCGTTGACGGTTGATTCGCATACGGGATGGATCACGACAACCAAGGAGTTGGATCGCGAGGATCAGTCCAAGTTCATGTTTCAGGTAATGTTTCATGTTTATCAAATTTTACCGATTTCATATTTAATAATACTGATAAAGAAATGAATTATTTATTATTAGAAAATATTAGTAAGTCTTATACAGGGTTTTTAGAACTCGCGCCCCAGAGAAAAATGCTATTATGTAAGGTAGGATACCAAGAACATGTTTATCAAATGTTTTATGTTTATCAAATTTTACCGATTTCATATTTAATAATACAGATAAAGAAATGAATTATTTATTATTATTAGAAAATATTAATAAGTCTTATACAGGGTGTTTTAGAACTCGCGCCCCAGAGAAAAATGCTATTATGTAAGGTAGGATACCAAGAACATAGAAAACATGTTAAAATAATTGTGCCTATAAAAATTACAAAATTATGGGGTTTTAAATTTTGCACTTTGACTATTTATTTCTGTTGGAAAAATAATTTTTCCAAATTTTTTGCTACAGGCTATTAGAAGAGGAAATAAGGAAGCTGTAACCTAAATTGTAACTATTTTTAAAGTTTTTTGTGGCTTTCATTGGCAAACATTTTGTACTTTTATTAAACAATTATAAAAAAAACATTTGCAAGATCATCAGTAACATCACAAGCACCTTTTTTAAATATTGTACACTTACATACAGCGTGATTCAAGAGGATTACTCGAGTGGTTTTTTGAAACATTGAATTACTCTAAAATTTACAAATTAAAATGTTATACCAACTTTCCTTAGGCAAAACGGAAAATGCAAGTTTAATATTATTTTTTTGTTAATTAGGGAAGGTACAGTTGGAGACAAAATACTTTGGTCGTCAATGTCACTTGAGTGATATTAAATTGTAAAGCATGTTTTAGGACTGTTAACTATATTTTTAGCTAATTAGTTGACAAGTTGTACATATTTTTGATAGAAAGATATAATAGCTGTCATTAATTTGAAATTGTCATTCATTAAAGCTTGAATTACATTAAGGTGTCAGAAAAGTGACGACCAAAGTATTTTGTCTCCCAACTGTAATTTTGTATTTTATTAGTAAGAAACGTTAAAACATGCATCTAGGATATTAAAAATAAATAGAATCAAAAACAATAAATAAAACATAGAAAAAACCCTTCTCAAATGTGGAGTTTTTCTGAAGGTGTAAAGTCGGCAACAGCACATCAAAAATTTGTTGGTTTTTATAGTAACAACAAATGTTTCAAATCACTGACTGTACGCACAAGGTGGTTTAAAATGCACTGCATCGTTGCCAATTTGTCTTGAATCTTCAAAGATTCATATTTTCAAAACTAACATTGTACGACCCTTTTGAATCACCGTGTCTTTATTACTACTATTTTATTTTTGTAAATGTTGTTCGATTAAATTTCTACTTAAAGTGACCTGTGAGTTTGTAATTAAGTTGGCAACAATGAATTATGCAAAGACAGAAAAGATGAAAATTTCTTTGATCAGGGAGAGTTCGAGTGAACAAGGCAGAAAATTGCAATATTTTGGCTCTTTGACTGGATTTAGGTCCTTTTCCATTGCTTTGGGCGTTTTTTTCTGAACATTTTGCACATTTGGCGCGTCTTAGATCTAAAATGTTCTTCAGTCAATTTCAAAGAAAACCTATTTGATAAATATTTTTTACACTCAAAAAAATCTAATAAAGGTTCAAAATTTTAAGACACAAAAATCTAAAATAGGTATTACAGTACAATTTTTAAGATGTAAATTACGAGCGGAAGATAATTCAATAATTAAAATGACAATGATTTTTGAATGAAGATTTTCTATTGTTTTTATGAAGTTTTTTGAAATTTTTAAAAAATTGAAGAAATCGAATATTTTAAAATCGATCTAAATGACTAATAAATGACGTTTTTTGTACTCATGTGAAGGTTCATGGACCACGTAACATACATAAATCGTTGATTAGTCAATTAAAAAAATATATTTTGTATTTTGCATCATCGATTTTAAGTGAGAAATCTAAGAAATTGGAAGTTATAAATTCTAACGAAATTTTTTTCTTCCTTGGTTGATTTGGCCAATTTTTTACAATCAATAAATGGTCGAAATAAATGATTTTTTAGTAATATGCAAAAAATCCTAAATTTGATTTTCTAGTCATAAAATCACGCGGCGAACACGATATCAAGTCTTATATCTTCTGGCTAGATTTTGATCTTTGAGGTCATGATAGGAGTATATACAGAGTGATTCTTAAATAGACCGACAAAATTTTATCCTTGGTAGGTAGTATCAAATGAGTACATTCTGGAAAAAATATTTAAAAAATTCTTTGTTTAATCGTTCTCCAAATAAAATTTATTAGAGTTATTTTTGAGATAAAGCGTACGCCACTGATGTGTTTGTAAATAGCACGGCCTCCTAGATTAATAATAGTCTATTATCAATCTAGGAGGCCGTGGTAAATAGTATTAGCACAGGTAGTGGAAACCATGGTATTAATTTGATGAAAATGTACTTGATCATTGCAACAATTCATAAACGCCGGAAGTGGCACGGATCATGGGGGTTTTGCCCCTAAAAGGTATAAACGTAAAAAGCGTACAGTTTGTCTTCGTTTATCGTTGGGAAGCTCTGATAAAATTTTGTCGGTCTATTTAAGAATCATCCTATATCAATAAAAAGTTTCGTACTCGTATCAATCAAAAAAGTAATTAATTTCAATTCATTTAATAAAATTTGTTTTGACTATCTTGCTAAAATAAACGGAATAAACTCCGGTTTAAGTTTTTTTACGAGAAACGATCTTTACTCTAACAGTAGCTGAAGGACACCTTTGCTCTCAGGTGATAGCCACTGATCAAGGCACCCTTCCGCAATCCGCCAGCGCTAGCGTCATTATTACCGTTCAAGACGTAAACGACAACGACCCCGTGTTTGAGCCAAAAATCTACGAATCTGTCGTCTCCGAAGACGACCCTCCTGGCACTCCCGTGGCCACCGTCACCGCTACCGACGCCGACGAAGACGCTCGTCTTCACTATGAACTTACTAACGGCAACACCCGCGGCCGTTTTGCCATCACCTCCCAAAACGGTCGAGGAGCCATCACCATAGCTCAACCCCTGGACTACAAACAAGAAAAACGCTACATTTTGACGGTCACAGCGTCGGATTCGGGTGGACGGACAGACACAGCCACTGTCTACGTCAACATAACCGACGCTAATAACTTTGCACCGGTTTTTGAAAACGCCCCGTATACGGCAAGCGTGTTCGAGGATGCGGCGGTTGGTACCACTGTTCTGGTGGTTTCGGCGACGGATAATGATGTGGGTTTGAACGCACAAATTACGTATAGTTTGGGGGAGGATGGGGACCATCCGGCCGAGTTTACCATCAATCCGCAAACAGGGGCTATTATTACGACGAAGACACTCGATAGGGAGACCACGAGTGGATATTTGCTGACGGTGACGGCGCGAGATGGGGGGAACCCCCCGTTATCTGACACCACAGACGTAGAAATATCCGTGACAGATGTTAACGATAACTATCCAGTATTTAAACAAGCGGCGTATTCAGGGAGTGTTCTCGAAGATGCCCTTGTGGGTAAGTTAGATTTTTATAAATTTCTCAATGAATTTTTAGTATTTAACAAAATTTTCAAAGTACGAGTATGTTGCTATTAAGAAAAAGAAACATTTTTTTTGACAAACTGTCACATTTTTCTAGTTCTTTATACAGTGCGATCAAAAAGTCTTTCTATCAAGTAGGCGTCCTAGTTGAGGACGTATGTTGCATGGCAGTTCGTATGTTATGTAGATGTCAAAAAATTATTTTATAAAAATTAAAACATTGAGCTAATTAAATTGAATTATTCTATGAAACGTCTCAAAACAAACAAATGAGATCTTGTTGGTGTTTATTCATAAAAATCGTTCACCACGGTTTCCTGTCCATAATTTACATAAAAAATATTTTGACATTTCTCATTTGTCATTGTGACATTTTATCTTCCACAGACATACGTTTTAAATTTATACGCTTGCTTGATAGACAGACTTTTTGATCGCACTGTACTTAATTCATTAATTATTCAAGAATTAGTTTTTTAGAAAGTAAATAATTTAAGCAAAAAAAGCTTGGTTTCATATTTTTGTTTACTCTGTATACGGATAGAATAGATCCTTGAAAATTTGTAGTCTTAACAAGTTTTTAACAAAAAAATGTGTGGCATAATTTCAACCACAATTACCCTTCTACAAATGAGAATAGATAGCATAGTATTTATTGACCCATCTCAAAATATAAAAAAGTTACAGCTTTTCAAAAATCAGCAAGAAAAAATTCTGGAATATGCCGAAAAAAAAGTTATAACTACAAAACTGGAAGGGCCCCATTGCCACCGGAAATGTATAGCTCATTTATTTCGCAAAACACGCCTAAAAATCACAAAAATAGAATGAAATCAATGTTATTTTGTTTGTTTCACTCGATTTTGTTTGTTTTCGAGCGAATTTGAAAAAACACTACTAAATTGAACTAAATTCTTAAGTCATTTGTAAGATTAAAATCAGACCGAATGAAGAATTCATCAAATTAAGTTGGAAATTACATTTTTTTTATTTTTCGATTTTGCACGTTTTTCAACCAGAAACATAATTATTTTGTGAATTTTTATATTCACATTCACATATTACAAAATTTTCTTTAGAAACAAGCTGAGAATTTATTAAATTATACAAAAATTAATGTATTTCTGATTTGTTAAGCACGTTTTAGAGATAAAAGCAAACTTTTGTCGAAAAATCTGCCTCTCAACTAAATGAAAAATCAACAAATCGAAATTGATATTATTTTTGCTTGTTTCGATCGATTTAGTTCGTTTTTGAGCAAGAGATTCATTTATTTTGCAAAGTCTTACCAAAATACACCTAATAATTACAAAATAAGTCGACATTGATGTTGTTTTTGTTTGTTTCACTCAGTTTAGGCTAGTTTTGAGCAAAAGTGTGGCAAAAATAAGGCGAAAAAAAAAGCTTTTCGGTTATTGTAATTTTTATTTTCATAGCTAAAGAAAAAATGACAACAAATAAAAATAATTTATTGAGCTTATATAAAAACACGTACATATTGCTGACATTATTGTTTCGAAAAATCGACGTCAAAAAACGTCAATTATAATGACAATAAAGCGTGGCTTATATCGACATTTTTTGAACTGACGAATTTGATGTCCAAAATTCTGTATCTGCAAATGTAATGCCCCTAGTGCAAATTATCGACATAATTCTAATTTAAAAATTTAAAATTAGAATCAATTTGGCATGCAAGAGGGGTATTTTGCAGGATATTTCTCAAACAAAATTTACAAAAACAATGTTTTTATTGTGAGAAATTAAAAAAAAATGTCAATTTTGTCAATTATGTCAATCAAATCCTTCAAATTTTTGAGATTCATCCAATCAGATTTGCGGTAATTTAGCACACGGGCAAATTATTGATAATTTGCACACGTGCTGAATTATCGCGTGATTTGAATCTGATTGGATAAATCTCAGAAATTTTAAAGATATATTTGATTGGCTTAAATTTTGTGAGGGAAATAGTCGGATAAACGATAACAAAAATATTTCCAGAAAATCATTTTTTCATACCGATTTTTGGAAAGCTGTAATTTTTCTATTTTTTGAGGTGAGTCAATAAATACTACTGAAATCAAAAATAATTCTCATTTGCAGAGGGAAATTCGTGGTTAAAATTATATCATATGTTTTTGAATCACCAGATATTTATATTGTATTGTATATCATTAGATTGTATTGTATTTTTTGAGTTACTGAGAAATGCAGAATTTTTATAAACATAAAACTCACCACTGCAATACTGCAAATAGTGGTCGGTGACCCTGTTGCCAAATTTATAAAAAAAATTCCAGGCACCTCTGTCGTGCAAGTATCCGCAACGGACGCCGACGTCGGCCTCAACGGCAAGATCTCTTATTCCCTCAGCGAAAAAGACAAAGAAGACGGTTCCTTTGTCATCGACCCCACAAGTGGTGTCATTCGTACTAACAAAGGCCTCGATCGTGAATCAGTCGCCGTATACGAGCTGGAAGCCTATGCTATAGACCGTGGATCCCCGACTTTGAGCAGCTCAGTGCCTGTGACAATCCACATCGACGACATCAACGACTCACCTCCGGCCTTCGATTCGGACAAAATCGTACTCTACATCGCCGAAAACAGTCCGATTGGATCAACAGTAGGGGAAATTCACGCAAAGGATCCTGACGAAGGTGTCAATGCTATTATCCAGTATTCGATAATTGGGGGCGAGGATAGCCAGAGTTTTTCTTTGGTAACTAGACCCGGATCCGAAAAGGCCGACTTGCTAACGATGACCGAACTCGATTACGAAAGTCCGAAAAAGAAATTTGATTTGATTATTCGGGCGGCAAGTCCCCCGTTACGCAGCGATGCCCACGTTGAGATAATTGTGACAGATGTTAATGATAATGCACCGGTTTTGCACGATTTTTTGGTCATGTTTAACAACTATAGGGATTTTTTCCCAACTGGTCCAATTGGCCGAATCCCTGCTTTCGATGCCGATGTTTCAGATAAGTTGCATTATAGGATTTTATCAGGAAATAATGCGAATTTGGTAGCACTGAATGAAAGTACAGGTCAGATTCAATTGTCACCACAACTCAACACCAATGTTGCCAAAATGGCATCTATGGAGGTTTCGGTCACTGATGGAGTGAATGAAGTCAAGGCAATCATGCAATTATCAGTCAGACTCATCACTGAAGAAATGTTATACAATTCGATAACAGTCCGACTCAACCAAATGACAAAAGAGGCATTTTTGTCGCCCCTTCTTGGTTTCTTTATGGACGGACTCGCAGCCATAATTCCGTGCCCTAAAGAAAACATCTTCATTTTTAGCATTCAGGACGACACTGACGTCGACGCAAAAATCCTCAATGTGAGTTTTTCGGTCCGGAGGCCTGACGTCCCCAAGGAGGTCTATTACACTCCACAATTCCTCAAAGAAAAAGTCTACCTAAATCGAGGCATTCTCGCCCGACTATCAACAGTACAAATCCTCCCTTTCGACGATAACCTTTGCGTGAGGGAACCCTGCCTCAACTACGAAGAATGCCTCACTGTTCTCAAATTCGGAAACGCGTCCGATTTCATCAGCAGCGATACTGTTTTGTTTCGACCTATCTACCCAGTCACAACGTTCACTTGTCAGTGTCCCAAAGGCTTCACGGGGTCTAAAGAACACTACTTGTGTGATACCGAAGTAAATTTGTGTTATTCGTCGCCGTGTCAACATAACGGAACTTGTAAAATACGCGAGAGTGGTTATACGTGTGTTTGTACTCATGGTTACACGGGACCAAATTGTGAGGTTGAGCTTTCAGATGATCCCTGCAATCCGAGTATGTGTAAATCGGGAAGTACGTGTAGTCCGAAAAATGGTAAATCGTTTATTTGTGAAGAGTGTTCGTTGGATGCCGGGAATGAGCATTATACTTCGATGTGTGAGTTGAAGACGAGGAGTTTTACTAAAAGTTCGTTTTTGACGTTTCCGAGTTTGAAGCAGAGGCATAGGTTGCATCTAAGGCTAAGGTAAAGTGTTAGAACAAAGGGGAATAAATTTGAAGTTTCGGTGTGGTTTTACTATGCATAGAAATCGATTTAAGGTGCTAAAAAATGCTATACATATTAAATTAGGTATTTAGAAACAATTTAGTGTGCTTAAAAAATGAAACATTCAAATAAGTATACAAATTAAGTTTGATTCTGAGAGTAGAAAAAAAATAGGTATCTATGTATAAAGTATACTAAAATGGAGCTTTAGAAGACGATTCGTTATTAAGGACGAGGCTACGAAGGAGCTCTAAGACTACCTACTATGACACCATTTTTAAAAACAGTCTTGCATCGTCTACATAGGTATAACAATGCATACCATACGTTTATCTTTTATAGTATAGCGTGCGAAACAAAACAAATATCTATGTACTATACGGAAATGTATTATTTCCTGATAATAATTTAGAAAAAAAAAGAGAACTGAGTCTTTACCATACTTATTTCCAAAACTTCAGAAACATTGGTTTGCTAAATACTCTTAAATCGTTTTGTTGCTCATCTTTTACACTTGTTTTATGTTATTTAACCAAATAGGTCACATTTATTACTTTGGCAACCTTGACTTTCAAAAGCAAACATCAAACTTTTATAGACAATTGTTATTCATTTGCGACGGGTGACTGCTGATTGTCCTTACCTGAAACATTTTGATATAACAAAATAATTATAAGGATTACCAATAATTTACTGTTGCCAATAGAATTTTGTTGTCACCCAGTACAAAAAAATAAACTAATAGAAACAGTTGTGTCTCAAATTTCAATTCTGCAAAAAAAAAACAGTAAGGTCACTTTTAAAACTAAGTGTGGTTTTCTCAAATTTTTCCAATAAAAATTAAAAGGAGTTTGGAATTCGCATTCAATGGGGTACTATACTATAAAAAAAGAAGGCAAAATTTAGGTTTATATTATTCTTCGTTGTTAAATAGCAATATAACTAAAAATCGATTTTCAATTAAGCTGTAATTTTTTAAATAAATGAGATTTAAACAAGTGGTTTTTGAGCCACTGCATTTAAACGGTATTACAATGCGCGTTTGATGACGTCGGGCCTCCCCGTCCAATCAGCAAACGCAGCGCTATTTTGTCTCTCTTACCGTCGACTTTCTTCCATCGCATCGCAGACTGGAGCTTGGGTTAGAGCTGTCGGCTTTGGCTGATTTTGCGCGTTCGTCAGGGTCTGCTCACGTCATCATTAGGCGCAAACATGGTGTGTTTGAAAGTGTGTTTATTTTGCACCAACTTCAACATTTTTTTTTCGCCTTAAATGCACGCTTTCGCAAAAAACAAAAAACACGGGTATATTATTTTTTTATGTAGATTTAACTTAGACAATAAAAAAATATAGTATAGTACCCCATTACTGGAAATAAAATAGAAATAAAAAACAAAGAATTAAAAAAAATTAAATAAAAATTAAAAAGAATAAAAAAACAAGAAAATTTTAAATAAAGTGGAAATTCGTGCACAGTGTAATTTCCCAGGAGATATGTGTTGAACTTCTATGGTGAAAGTTTTAGAGGAATAACAAAACATACAGTTCATTCAATTGCAACTTTAAGAGTAAAAATAGGAATCAAGGAATTTGTTTTTGTCAAGAAAACACTCAAATTCATTCAATTCCACTTTATTTTAAGATTAAAAATCGGTATTTTATTTATTTTATTACCACGGGAATAAGGTATCTACCACATTAATTAAATTATTAATCAAAAACGAGGGAATAAAGCAAGCATCACTTTATTTCCTGGTGGGAAGAAACTTGTTTTATTTCTCGGAAATTATTTGATTTCATTGACGTTAAGTAAAAACCCCTGGATCTGATCTAATAATAATCAAAAACCGTGTTTTTTATTGTATTAATAAAAAATCTTTGTCGCCTTAACCCTCTCGAAATGAAATCGTCTTATAGTCCCATTTCCAAAAACTAAAACAATAACACACCAGAGACTTCTCACATAACACCCCACCCCAGAAAATCTAATCAAAATCTTTTTTCTCATAGATTTGCTACACAATCTCGCAACGGCTTACTTCTCTACAACGGCCGTTATAACGAACTCCACGATTTTATTTCCTTAGAGATCGTTAATGACCAAATTCAATTTTCCTTTTCTCTTGGCGGCAACGTAACAAAAGCCGTTGCCTCAATATCTGGCGGGATTTCTGACGGCAATTGGCATTCAGTCACCGTCTCGTATTACAATAAAGTAATAAAAATTAAACTAAAGTCACCACAAACCTAATTAAATTTTTTAGACGGTCACTGTATCAATTGATGATTGTGACACAGCTTTGGCTTTGAAACATGGAAAGGAATTAGGCGGAAAATGGGCCTGTGCTGGCTTTGCCGAATATCATTTGGAACCACGTTGTGCCTCACTTACCGAAACGTGTCACAGATTTCTAGATTTGACGGGACCTTTACAACTAGGGGGATTACCCTCCTCGTCGAATAATTTTCAAACGAAAAATCGGTATTTCGAAGGGTGCATTTCAGAATTACAAGTCGATTACAAGTTTGTAGACTTGAACAGGTAACGTCAACGTATTTTATTTTCTAATTGTGCGGAAAATAACGCCAAAAATTGTAGTTTTGTAACCGATAATGGGACGACTCCTGGATGCCCAGAAAAACGTTCATTTTGTAATCCCAATCCGTGCAAAAATGGTGGCGTTTGCAAAGAAGGATGGGCTATGTTTCGATGTCTGTGTCCTAGTGGCTATGGAAGTAAAGATTGTAGTGAATTGATTAGTCAACCATGGCATTTTTCGGGCGATGGTACTCTTTCATTTAACCCACTTTTGAGACCCATCCAACTTCCATGGCTTAACTCTTTGTCAGTTAGGACGTTACAAGAAGACACATTTTTAATGTCCATTCAAGTGGGTCAGAATAGTTCAGCAGTGATTTCCCTACAAAACAGTTTTCTTCTTTATTCTTACAACGGCGAATCTTTTTCAATTCCAACTAGAGAACTTTCAAATGGGGAGTGGCACCATATTGAAATCACGTGGCTAGGTACTGAAATAAAATTGTCTATTGATTACGGAGAGCACGTCTCAGTGGTACCTTTCACTGAAAAAATTCAAGGATTATACATAGGAAAAATTTTGATTGGAGGCCCTGACAACTCATATAGTAGCCTAAATGCCGGTTATAATTATTTGGAAGGTTGCATCCAAGATGTTCGCATCGGCAGCCACCAAACAATTCTAAACCGACCCACTGTAACCGAAAATGTAGAAGAAGGTTGTCCGGCACTAACCGAATGTCAAAACGACTGTCCCTCCTCTTCGAAATGTGTGACAAAATGGGGAAAATCTTCATGCAACTGCCACGATGGCCACGTTGGACCTTTATGTATTCCAGTGTGTGATGTCAGTCCTTGCGAATCTGGAACCTGTGTTGCAACTAATCTTGACCCCAAAGGCTACAAATGTCACTGCAACTCGTCTGAATTCTCGGGTGAATACTGCGAAAACAAGATGGCGCAACCGTGTCCGTCTAGTTGGTGGGGATATCCGGTTTGTGGTCCTTGCCACTGTGATGTGGAAGCCGGTTATAACCCCGACTGTGACAAACAAACCGGTCAGTGCCACTGTCGCGAAAACCACTACCAACCCAAAGGAACCACCAAGTGTATCCCTTGTGATTGCTACCATATCGGGTCATTCAACAGCCAGTGTGACCACGAAACTGGGCAATGTATGTGTCGAGACGGAGTCATAGGTCAGAAATGCGACTCTTGTCCCAATGCGTATGCAGAAGTGACGCTTCAAGGGTGCGAGGTGGTATACGATGGGTGTCCCCGGAATTCTGCAAGTGGGATTTGGTGGCCCAGGACGGCTTTTGGGGGAGAAGCCGTCGAGAGTTGTCCCAAAGGGACACACGGGAAAGCTTCCCGGGTTTGCGATGATGATTCCGGGGGGTGGCAAAAGCCGGATTTGTTCAATTGTACTTCGGATCGATTTGTGGATTTAAGACAGCAATTAAGTAATATTGAGAGAGGGGATTTGCAAATGAATACATTTGTAGCGATTAAGCTAGCCTTGGATCTTTATAAAGCCACTAATGTCACTCCGGTTTTGTATGGGGCCGATGTTTTGGTTACTTTTGACTTGGTTAAAGAATTATTAGGATATGAATCGAGAATGCATGGGTTGAATTTGACTCATAGTCAAGATAAGGATTACATCCATGTAAGAATCTGATTGGTTGTAATTAAAATCGGTAATTAATTTTTTTTCAGAACATCGTACATTCGGTTGGGGTGGTTTTAGATGAGAAATATTTAAATCATTGGATAAGAATTAAACAATTGACTGGCGACGGGGCTGAAAATCTGATCGGAGTTATTGAAAATTATATCAATATTCTTTCAATTAGCCAACACGACACATACACCAACCCCTTTGAAATCGTTTCACCAAACATGGGTAAGTCATAGTTTCACGCAAAACATGGACTAAATTATCACATGTTGTTCCACGTCAACTTGAAGCAAAGTATTTGTAGCGGGTTTTTGAATATTTAAAACATCCCTAAAAATCTTCAACAGCTGAGATTAATACAAGGTGATTTCAAAGAATATGCATCACACATTTTAACAGGAGAAAGTAGAGGAGAGTAGAGCTCAAAAGAAGTCAAAATAACTCAACTTGCTTTAACTGAATGTTTACAGTTTTTGAAATACAGAAGGTTTTGTTCCTCAAAATCTATTAGGTACATTGTTTAAAAAAAAAAATAGTCAAAACCAACAAAAGTATACACAGCAAAAAAGTGTCATAAAATAATCATGAGACGGTAAAAATTTTGGATCCATTTTTTTGAAGATATCACCGAGTTTCTTCAAATGGCACCGACTACTAACAATGTAAAGTAAGAAAGTCTTCAAAAAGTTTAAATTAACATAGTGAGCGGCAAAATTATGGGATAATCTTATTAAAACTTAAAATGTTTTGTTTTGGCAAAAATGATCAAACAGGTCAATTTTCTTTTGAAAAAATTACACAATTTTTAACTTGATTGAAAGTTTTACCCTTTTTGGTTTTTGAGTAATGACGTCATTGGCATTTTTTTAAACAGAAACCTCTTAATTATTTTTAGCCAATTCGATAGATCTTTTAATTGCCGAAATGACAATACTAAAATATTAAATATTACGTAAAGTTTTTGAAACAAAGCTCACCATTTTAAATCAAGTTGAGAATTTTGTATTTTTTAAAAAGACCATTGACTTGTTCGAGCATTTTTGTTAAAATAAAATATTTTCAGTTTTAATAAATAAGACTATTCCATAATTTTTCCGCTCACTGTATTGTAATTTTTTGGCAATATTTACAAAGCCAAAATGGATGTTGCAGCCTCTATATTTCAGAAACTGTAACATTTGGATAAGGCAAGTTTAGTTATTTTCACTTCTTTTGAGCTCTTCTATCACCTGTTAAAATATTTGCACATATGTACTTTAAATAAAGTACATTCCGAGTACATTTTAAAATAAATTGCATAAAATTAAATTGCGAAAATTGTAGAAACAATAAATTATTTATTATTAAGAAGCTCTGTTAAAGTGGAACAGTTTGATTTAGGCGAAATAGTCATTGTGTGAAAACTAAAACGCAATTTTGTTCACGTTTTGCGTAAAAGTTGACACTGTCTAATAAAATTTTTAATGAATATTATTCCAGTTTTGGGTTTGGACGTCGTAACCCCCGAGTCCCTCTACGGCTACGAACCGGACTCGATCCCTTCCTTGCCGACCGATCCCAACTACACCACCGAGCGTGTCATCCTCCCCGACACATCCCAATTCCTCCAAGATACCCCTCAGAAATCCTACGGTCCTCTCGTCGCCTTTCCCAAATACAACAACTACCTCCTCGACAAAAGTAAATTTGATCAAACCACCCGAATTCTAATCCCTCTCAAACTCCTGGGGATCAAACCCGTGGAACACGGCGAATTGATCACAAAACACTCACTTCCGGATGTCGGCGCTGTGGTCAGCTATGCACAATACAAACAAGCGAATTCGCTCTTTCCAGAAAAATACGATGATTCAGTCGTTCGGAGATGGGGGGTGGATATCACAATTGGGTCGCCGCTGATCTCAGTTGGAGTGTTAGTCCCGGAATACGTAGATGCAGTCATGAGGACGACAACCCCGAAAAATATCATTTTTGAAGATGTTAAACTACCCGAAATCGATTTGAGCCAACAGGATATGTTCCCGAGGAAGGTTGTGGTCGAACCAGAAGTGAAAGTGCACGAAAATGATCCGATTTATCTAAAATCGACGCAGCCAAGGCGGAAAAGAGAGCAAAGATTAACTCGGAAGTTGCTATACAAGAGTTTATCAGGGATTGCTTTGAAAATTCCAGTCAAGTTGCAGATTTGGTTGGATTCAAATAAAACGCTGTTTAATGAACGGTCGAATCCGCAGTGTGTTCATTGGTCGACTATTCGAGGGTAAAAATAATATTAAAAGTACAGTGTTGGTGAAAACGTCGCAAGCTAAATTAAAATGCATCCAACTAAAATAACAGAATCTCTAAAAGTCAGTTAGTTTCTTGCTGAAATAAACACAATTATGACTTGATTATTCAATTTTGCTGGTTTTTTAATTTTGTAAATGCACTGGGATAATTTTGTTTTAAATTAAAGCGCTTGTGGCTTTTTTATCAAACACCCTTTAACACAGATAAAAATTAAATTCTTTTAGATTTGGGGAATGGTCACGTGTTGGGTGCCGGACTGAAGTCGGCGATGATTGGTTTGATACTTACGACCAAAAACCACCAATTGTGAACTGTACTTGCAACCATTTGACCACTTTTGCAGTCCTTGTCGACGTTGTTGATTTAGAAGTATGCAACTTTATCGACTTTTGTACCAACCTAATCAAATTTCTTGCAGTACATTCCCGAACCATCTCTACTCGAGGACATTTCAAGCTACAGCTGTTTCGCTATTTCTCTACCTCTCCTTCTCGCCGCCTACCTCATTCTAGCTTTAATCCGAGGCTTACAAACCAATTCCAACACAATACGGAAAAACCTCGTACTTTGCGTATTTCTAGCCGAATTATTGTATTTCATAGCCTTGAAAGCGCGCAGGCCTATGGTCAGCAGTGATGTAAGTCGATCGTGGACTGTCACCAGTATCGTAATCGCAACTTTTCAGCTTCCATGTAAACTGGTGGCCATTGGTTTACATTACTTGTGGCTAGCGTCGTTCTTTTGGATGCTAGTCGATGCATTACATTTATACAGGATGTTGACAGAGATGCGTGATATTAATCATGGTCCGATGCGATTTTATTATAGCATGGGGTATGTAGTACCCGCTGTTGTCGTGAGTTTGGCTGTAGGGGTGCGAGCCCACCAGTATGGCAACTATTACTTGTAAGTACCACCAACTTAACCAAAAATAAAACACTGATTTTTCAAAATTGCAGCTGTTGGGTGTCATTATACGAAAGCGTCGTTTGGAGTCTTGTCGGACCGATCTGTCTTCTAGTTTTAATCAATCTTTTGATTTTGATAATGGCAATACGGGCAGCGTTTACCCTACAAGACCATGTACTTGGGTTTGGTAATTTGCGGACTCTACTGTGGGTCTCCGTGGTCTCTTTACCACTACTGGGGGCTACTTGGATTCTTGCATTGTTGGCAGCGTCTGAAAGACATCCACTTTTGACACCGTTTTTGTCAGCTGCTGTTTTAATACATGCAGCATTTTCACTCGCCGGCTATTGTTTTGCAAATAATAGAGTCCGACAAAATTTAATTAGGTAAGATTTTTGTCCTCAACTTATTTAATTCTAAATAAATTTTATTTGGGTTTGGATAGGTCTATAATGCGTTGTATGGGTAAGAAAGTGCCATTACTCGAGACCACATCAGTGGTGGGTGTTCCAAGTACAAGCAGTCAGAACATTAGTGGCCAATCGGTAGGTACCATCTCTTCTAGAAATGTTTTTAATACAAATATGTCACAGAGATCCGCTTTGGCTTACCATTCGACCATCGATCCAACTCGCCGCAACATCGGCATTTCAACCTCCAGTACGACATCACGTTCGACTACTAAAACCAGCTCGAGCCCTTACAGGTAATTCTATAACCGACTCTCTTAAAACCCATAAACGATCAATTTTTTTCAGGAGTGACACCCATTTGCGTCACACCAGTACCAGTACTTCGAATTACAACTCAACAAGTGACGTCCCTTCATACATGAGAGGCTTCGAGCAGGAAACGGGACTTCACCGACACCGAGAAATACCGGAAGAGACCGAACGGCGCGAACGTCGAGCTGATAGCGACTCAGACTCGGATGGTTCCGAAGGACGGAGTCTCGATTTGGCTTCAAGTCACTCAAGCGATGATGATGAGTCCAGTACACGGAGACACCGGACTCGAGGAGGTACCCGGCAAGGGTACCTTCCGAACATAACCGAACATGTTGTTTCGCGGTGTGGTACTCCACCATCGCTCAATGTGGTCACCAACTCGCAATTATTTCCCTCTGTTCAGCCAGGGTATGGCTCCAGGTGGTCCAGTCAGCTGCCAGAAGCTTACCTATCTAATCCAAATGGTAGCCGAAAAATAGGAAACTGTAATTTTACTAAGTAATTTAGTTCCAGAAGTGGGAAGATGGTCGGCTGAGACAGCCTCAGATAATGAGTTCTGTCACAAAACAAACTCACCCAACCCCTTGCCTAACCCCGACGTTACCCCTGAAACATGTCTGCCAACTTTACAATCGGAACAATATATGGTGCGCACCCATTATGATAATCATTACCCCAATAACCAATTCAAGAGCGACTACTTATCAAAAATGATGCATCATGAAAATATGAATTTCCAAGATTATGTAGAACGGGGGTCCGACATTGATGATAAGCATCACATAAGTGATAAATATCTATTCCCGTATACAGGTAGGTCAAAAAATCGTAACTGACTTGAATTTAAATAAAGTTTATTACATGCTAGACGATCCGCTGAAAGGTTTGTATCAAGTGTTTATGTGCAACAACGCTTATATAATGTTTATGCTACTCATATTTTGTTTTTTAGCGGAAGAGGACCACGTGACGAGTCATAACAATTACATACACCCTTCGAGTCGTATTATGTCACCGGTGACCAATGATATAAATAATCCAGGAATGGAGTACCATGGTTCTCATATGGGGTCGCGCATTGGGTCGGTACTTGGATCAATGCATGGATCTGTTTGTGGTAGTGTTAGAGGTTCGCCTTCGCCTCTGATGCCACCCGTATCCATGATCCATTCAACCCATCCACCAGAACCACCTCAGTAAGTTTTAGAACAATTTCGCTTTTAATTTTTCTTTATTAACAATTGTTTAGCTGGTGTTGGGAATATGGCATTAACAAATAATTGGCTTTGGTAAGATTTTGTCGTTTTTGTATTGTTTTTATTGATCCCTCTCTTTAGGAAAGAAGATAAAAACGAAGAAACTTCAGTCTGACGAGGAGATTAATTTCGTGTACAAATAAGTTATTTATTGTTATTTTTTGACTTGTTTTTTGTATATGTTTCCGATAAAAGACTGTGTATGTATAATTGTAACAATCTTTGACATTCCGAATTTATTTAGTAAGGGAGCTTTACAATGCACTTAGAATCCTAGGTAATAATTGTAATTGCCATCATATATTACATACATTATTTAATAGTAGTTATTAAGTAGATTTTAGCTGATTCATTAGCCATCAGAGGAGAAGACTAAGGTATTTTTTACGCCATAAATGATTTTATTTGCGTCGAAACAAAATTGAAAATATTTTTGTGTAAATTTTGTAAGAAACCTGTGCCTAAAAAGCTTTTTTATATAAAACTTTTTTTTGTATAAATGGTCGTAACACTAAGATATTTTGTAAGATCTCAGTATTTATTTAGCTTAGGAATTTTGTATGACACTACCCAAACGTACTAGATGTATTTTATTTCAATATTTTGACTGTGCAATTTCTACATTCCAATTTTTTATACACTCTTGGACTCAGATATATTGTGATTTTTATTTTATTAAATTTTCTCAAAGAAATTGTGGCTAATTTACCTACTCCTTCCCCAAATACAAAACAAAACTTATAATTTTCCGAAAATACTTTACTGTTTAGCGACTTGTACTTGATTTGTATTATGTATTGACAAATTCCTAACTAAAATTGTGTCGATTGTGAACGAATTACAACACACTCATCACCGCCAACTATGAGGACAAATTTAAATAAACACCCGTTATTTAATAGCTATTTACGGTATACCGGACTAGGCCGGTAAATTTTATCTACCAGACTCGTTTGTACTATGTAAACGGTAGTTACCTTTACAGTATCTTTAAAAAAATTGACGGGGATCGAAATGTAGGGTTTAGATCACAGAACGGTTTAGAATCGCCACTGGTTTTCTCGACTTTATGTCAATCATGTGACCTTTGTGCGACACTGCCTTCAGCGTGGAATTCAAAATTTAAAAATATATAGTTTTTTAGAAAAAATAAAAAGTCACACACTTTTAAATCTTTCAGTTGTTTCTTTCCTCCTTTTTATCCTTCAAATCAAACCCCCCTTCCCCACATTTAAGTTGGCTTATGCCATCTTTGGAAATTTTTAGATTAACAGAAAAATGTTGAGAGCCTCTGATAATCAAAAATCTAACAAATAAGAGAAATTTTACTTACATTTGTTGATTTTATAGTCGTTTCTAATGTGATTAATTAAATTTTTGTTAATTAAAAACAAGTTGAATTTTTTTGGATAGTGTTTAGTACTCGATGGTTTGGAACCCCTGCTTCAATGTGACTTGTTTTCTGTCATATTACGTCACCGATTCATCGAAACGTCAAACCAGCTGTGGTTGTGGAGGTAACCTTCAACTTCGTTGTGAAAGAATTGAGTCCTTTCAAAATGGTTTTATTTACGTGTAAATCTCCGCGCAGTGCGTACGATAATGTTTGTTCCAAATGTATTCGAAAACTCTCTATCAAATTCTAAAGAATCTCATCGATTTTTTTTCAACAATGACTAACACAACCACCAATTCGAACCCTGCCTCACCCTACATCTTCAAGCCTTTCCGGTACGAAGAAATCAAACCGAATCAAAAGAGCAGAGTGCCTTATCCTCGGAGTGGCCATCGCATCGGGGCCGATTCTGCCAACTTCTACTCTTTCGGGGGCTACAACCCCTTGATAGGGAGTGACGAAACAATAAGCGACGAGATTTGGGTGCAATCGTACCCACTTTTTCAAGAGTTGTGGCGATTTAATTTTGCCAGGAAAGAGTGGACGAGGTATTCGAACAGCCACACATTACCGCTGGAACTAGCGTCAAATGCTTTAGTCCTTCATAAAAATGTCTTGATGGTAAAACAGACTCGAATTGTTTTGACAAGGTATCCAAGTTGTGTTTTAGGTTTATGGGGGCACCGGATCTCCTTTTGGTTTCAGATGTAGCAACCAATTATTTGTGTGTCGCGTTAATGACAGTGAGGGGCTTATGGACGAGGTCCATACGACGGGGCAGTTGCCTTTACCCGCCTATGGACAAGCTTTGATTTACCATAATGATTACCTCTACACCATTGGGGGAACCACAGGAGTTCAATACACATGTGATATTCACAGGTGAGTATTTGCTTCTTGCTTAATTTAAAAGTGAACGAAGACGCATCAGTTGTGTAATTTTATTCGAGTCAAGGTTGGAAAGATTGGTCAAACATTCATTTCAAGGTTGGGAGAGAAAGTGGTTCACTGTTTTTGTCTGAAAGTAAAATTACATAATGTTAAACATTTGAATTAAAACCGTGTAACCTTGTCTAAAATTTAAAAAAATGTATCATGCTTGATGGGATCATTAAATTGTAATTAGCGCTTTGTCTCATCCGACGATGATATGTAATTGAGGTAATTACAGCCATTTAAGAAGATATAACTCGTAAATGGTTTATAATGCACACTAATTATTAGATTATAGATGATAAAAAAAGCACAAAGCGAAATAAAATAGAGTTGTACTCCTAATTGACTGAGATCTTTTAATTTATTCACAACCACTACAGTATAATATGCCGTCAGGAAATTTATCATTACATGTTTTGGTCGGGAAGTAATTTATACAGGATGATTCAAAATTTTCGGATCAATTCTCGAATGGCGATAGAAGACTTTCAGCTAAGCATAAAAATGAATGCACATTTTTTGATTTTTTTTCTGAGAAAAAACAACTGAATTTTCATATTATCATATAGACGCCTTAGCTCTTTTGTTTTGGTGATATTGTCGGATTTAATTTATTGTTGAATTTGCTAGTTTATTAAATGTTTTGCACACCATAAGACCCAGTGGTGATTTTTTCAACAGGTTTCTATTTAATGTTGCAATATCGGTTGTTTCCTTTAATTAAATTTAAGAATATGATCTGGACGACCAACAATTTAACCCAAAGAGCTAACCTTTGTCTCTTGAAAAAAGGCTCAAACAATTTTTGGTCATAGGAACTTTTAACTCAGTTGGATGTTTTTGTCACCACCCAAAAGATGGTCGGAGACTTTTGAATCACTCTACCAATTACCAAGATTACGACGAGCCCATCAAATATCAAAAACTCAATTTAATTATTTAAATGAATCTGAGCTCGTAATGATATACATTTTTCATCTCAATTGCAATATACTATTTTTGTTTTATGTCTTTTGTTTGTTCTAATCACTTTGTGACCTTTTTGTAATTATTCGACTTATTTGTGCCAAAGTTGAATGTTATTTCTTGTGTAATACTCACCTATTGATCGCAAAGCGAAAGTGCTTATTTAGATACAAGAAACTGCTCAGATAGTTGTTGAACTCAAATTGTATAATAGTGATGAGATTTATTGTAAAATTATTGCTAATAAAGCCAATTGTATTGTAAGTGTGAGAAATTAATGTACAGTCGGAAGCGATAAAAATGTTCACACGTTGTATAGTTTGCCACCATAAACAAACCGAGTAATGAACCTTTACAAAATGATGTAATTAATGAATAAATAGTACATAAATCTTCAAGTGCATTGGCAGTGAAAGTTTAAGGTTAGATTATTTAGAATGACATAATTGAAAACAGAATGTTTGCGTGCTAACCACAAGAGCAAATGTTTTGCGAATGACATTGAAACACAATAAATTCGATTTGATGCGATCTTTTTGTTGTTTGTGCTAGATTTTAAGCTCCTGAAATAGTTATATAACATTACTATTTTAAAATTTCACTTGACCAATACCCATAAACAGCGACATTAAATCAGAAATTTCGCACATACGTGCACTTTCACAAAACGCATAAAAATTGGACGTCAAATTTGTTTCAATTATTACGAGTTTATGATTAATCGTTTGCTCGATATGCATACTTCACTTCCTGCTGTTATATAATCAAAGTCAATTGCATTTTGTAATTGAATAATTAAAAGTGTATTTAATGCAAGTGAACTTTGCTATTTATGCAGAGAAATGTAATTAACAATTTCGTATTTTTATAAAACTTGCAAAATGAATATTTTGAAACGTGTGAACTTCTAATGGGAGTAAGCCGTGCTTTCTCATATGAAAATTTTCTTATTATCACATCGAGTGGTGAAAAAACGCTTAAAATAGAACATAAAAATGTAGATAGAGCAAAAATGGGAAAAAAGTGTTCTAGGTAGCGTAATAGTATTGGTACAACAGATTTTTTCTAAACTACAAAAAAAAATTCGGTAGGTGGTTTATTTTTTTTACACAAAAAGCATCTAAAACCTGTTATACAGTATATATCTATCTTTTTTTTTATTTTTCTGATTTTACATTTCTTTGCTAGAACTGCCATAACACTACAATATTTATGATTATGATTATTTCTGAAAGCAAATGATTTAAAAATAAAACGCTTGGTTCTACAGGGTGTTTCACGTAATTGTACGAGGCCTGTGCCTGTAAGATGCAATCAATAATACATATCCCGATAACTCGATTATAAATTTTGAAAAATTGAATAATCGTCTCTAGTTTGTTCACCCTTTTAAAAATTACAACGTTTTTAGTTAGTAAGTGATTAAGATAGATAAACTAGAATAATAATCATGCCGTCTCTTGAGAGAACAATTGATAATTGTTTCTGAAAAACTGTAGTTTATGACTATTAATGAAACAGTGATTAGTTTGACAACTACTGTCATGTGTTTCCAAAATTTAAATAGTTAGAAGTGTATTTTTTGTATCCAGTGTTTTGTGACTTTTGTACATTTGGGCGTGTACAAGGCGTAAGCCTCGTAAAGTTGTGTGAAACACCCTGTATACTATTTTGTTATAAATTTCAATCCACTGCTTTTCATAGAAGTGCGTTGTTATCATTTGTTATCATTGTTTCAGTTTTATTGGTATTATGTTTTATCTAGTTTATAACTATTTTTATTATTTTGTTGCGTAAAATTATTACGTTCTTTCCCATTTTCTTTCTTCTCTGTTTCATAAAAATAGCTTTGTTTGAACTTTTTAATTATTTAGTTATTTAATACATCCATTTGATAAATTTTTAGTTCATTTTTGTTCCTGTTATCCTATATGTGTATTGTCTAGCTGCAATGGTTATTAATGTTATTGTTCTAATAGTAGTTAATTCAAGGATCGCAACATTAATGAAATAGACGTTTGCTTTAAGACTTCTACCATGTATATATAGACAAATTTGGCAAAACCATTGAAAGTTATCTTCTGTGAACCATCAAGTAAAACCGATTAATACCGTGCGATCAAATAAAAAATAAATTAGAGTAGGCGTCGATTAAATTCTACAGTTGGCAACACATTGGCTGGGAATCTGGACAGGAAATGTTCCACACAAACTGAAGGTGAAAATGACCATTCACCGTTTTCCTCTTGTACAGCGATAAAATTTTTCTGCTCTAAAGTGAACATTATTTCACTTAAAAGGAATAAAACGCATTGTATATATATTGTAATGAAAATGGTGGTACACTAACTATTATTTGCACCACAATTTGAATGGAACGCAGTATAAATTCACAAGAATGTACATACAAATACTATTTGCTATAAGTTTATACAGTGCGATCAAAAAGTCTTTCTATCAAGTAGGCGTACTAGTTGAGGACGTATGTCGCTTGGAAGTTAGTATGTCAGCTAGATGTCAAAAAATTATTTTATAAAAATTAAAATTTTGATCTAAACAAATTGAATTACTGTATGAAACGTCTTAAAACACCCTAATGATGTAGGATGTAGATGTAGTTGGAGTTTATTCATGCAAATCGTTCACCACACAGTTTACAAAAAAAATATTTTGACATTTCTCATTTATCATTGTGAGATTTTTATCTTCCACAGAAACACGTTTTCAATTTCTAGGGTTGCTTGTTAAATAAACTTTTTGATCGTACTGTATAATTGAGTTTATTTACAGATACCAAGCGTTTAATTAAATTTTAAAGCAATATGGTTCGAGATCTTGAAACTATGTGGACAACATTAAATAATGTTAACATAAGACTAAGATTTTTGTACCAGAATCAAGCTATTTTGATTACAAATTTAATTAAACTCAGAAGCGTCAAAAGTTATTAGGTAAATGCGTGTAATCTGACAAAACGTACCTACTTCGCTGTATACTTCTGTAATCGTGATAATCGCAATAGAACAGTCACTAAATAATTACAGTATTACACCACACTATACCTCTTCTGTCTTCAACGACAAAATGCTTTAGTGGCAAAGAATTTTTCTTTGTACCGATGGCGATGGTTCCGAGTCAAAGAAGCAATTTAAACCTAAACCCTTCAAGGTAGAGATAGGATGTCCGGAGTTGTTTAAAGGGAATTTAATTTTCTACAACCTTCTTTTTTCCACTACTTTTCTATCTTTAATCGTATTTGCAGCGTTTAAAAAAGTTAAAAACATGAGGAATAGCAAAAATATGTGTTTTTTTTAATTATTGTTTTCAGCAAGATTTTTGCTATAACTTCATTAATGTGAAGGATTTAATGTCCTATCTGCCCATATTTTTTTTTGTTTTGTCATCATCTTCACTTAAATAAAGCACCAATGGATTGACTTGTTTTTATTTTTAAAGTGAACATAAGGCTAACTTCGGCAATATAAAAAACTCATTGTATGTATCTACTATTTCCTGTAGAGCACAGTTTGATAGTTTTTCTCTCGACTGTACAAAAATGGATTTTTTCTGTAAACAGAGCATTCAAGGAAAATTATTTTATATAATTTTGTAATTAACTAATTTATTTAATTAATTGAAAAGTTCAGCGAACGATGAACCAACGGCAATAAATTTTTAATTAATTTATCTATGTAGAAAGTGACATTTAAATACAATTGCAACATCTTGATACACTTTTGTAAAGTCGTATTGCACTAGACTGATGAAGAAAGAGGGATAGGAAATCGTTTGACAAATAATTTGAAGCGAGTAGTTACTACTGTAATTAACCAGAAATGCAGACTTTGTTAAGAAATTTCAGGATTCATTTCATACTTGCAACACTGCAGTTTTAAGGAGTGGCTCTCATTTACAAATACTCGCGTATTTCGAATGGTGAAATTAATACAGCACCAATTTTATTAATACCCTGGGGGTGTTTAAACCGCTGTATTATATAACATAGAAATTGTAAGATTTCATTAAACAAAAATTAATATTTCGCAACATTCTAGGTTAAATCTGAAAACTCTAGTCTGGGAAAGCGTCTACATTTGCCGCGGAATAGGCGAATACGAACCTACAGGCCGGTACCGTCATGAAGTCGGTTTCGACAAACGTAACATTTACGTTTTGGGAGGAGGAACGGCCTTACTCGCTTTCGATTTCATGACGATTCCCGTTTTTAATTTAGAGAAACAAATCTGGTATCCTCAGAAATCTGTCAGGGATACAAGATACGGTAGGTGGCTGTGATTTAAAAGTATAATTTTTTTAGAAAAATGATTGGTAGGTATACCACAACCGCGACGTTGCCACGGAGCCGTCCAAATCACCACGGAAAATGGTAATCAGGTGTTCATCGCGGGCGGCCACGACGGCGAGAATGTGTTTGATGATCTCTGGAGGTTGGATTTGCAAACGTTTCAATGGACTTATTTCGACAAGTGTCGGTTGCCGTTTCCTATATATTTTCACGCGGCAGCGGCGTCGCCCGAAGGCAGACTGTATATCTTCGGCGGCATTTGCAGTAGCAACGATAATGATGTTAGAAGAAGTAATTGTATGTACTCGACGTGGCTGTGTATTCCTAAACTAAGTGAAATCTGTTGGGAAGCCGTACTGCACTATAGTCCCCATATTGTTAAGTGTAAGAGCGAGGATTTGATTAATATAGGATTACCGAGACATTTTGTGCAAAGGTTGGGTAATAGTAATCCACCGATTAAAAGAGAACAATAAACGACTACTCATTTATTAGAGTTTCCTAAGAGGAAAGGGAACTTTATTTATTTAAATTCTCGATGATTAAAATGTTTAATAAGAAAAGAGTTTTATTTACAATTTTCCACAACATAAGGAAGTAGAAAAGAGGTTTCTCTTCTTTATAACGCGAAGTTCGAGCCATTGTTCCTGATTAGGGACGTACATCTCGGCCGGCATTTGCTCATTTTTCTCGGCAGGAGGCGAATTTGTGGGCTCTAAAATCACACCATATCACGTTCAATTAGGTTTATAATTAACAGTTATTATGAAAACAGTGACTTTTTAGTGATAACTTTGGCAATTACTAAACAATATTATTTACGCATTAATATTAGTGAACGCTATTTGTCATTTTTGAAAAATGAAGAAAGAGAAAAAAAAAGAAAGAACAGAGATCAAAATGACAGGAAACTCGTAGTACACGATTTGTACAAATAAACACCAACATCTCATTTTCGGATGATTTGAGAGGTTTCATAGAATAATTCAACTTGCTTAGATCAATATTTTAATTTTTGTAAAATATTTTTTTTACATCTAGGAATTTTTATACGTCCTCAACTAGTACGCCTACTTGATAGAAGGACCTATAATTTTCAGGATGTCTCTGGTTCCTTATAAAAATTTTAGAATTTATACACAAGTCTTTTTTTTTTTTCATTGAATATAATGCCTCCGCAGACAACAGAAGTGATAAGAGCTCGCAATGTCACAAAACTAGAAGAAGATTAGTCGATGCAGTTGCATGAGAATTTCACCTGAGATTTCTGTTTTTAAAATTAATCGTCGTTGGGAACTGAACGCTACTTTAGCAAGAAAAATTGTGTTTGGTCGTAAATTAATATTTGAAGTTGTGCTATTAAGTTCAAAATACATGTGATATCTTTCGTTTAGTTTAATGTTACAAAGTAACTGTTAAAAAAAACCCGTTTACTTTAACAAAAAATTGCCAAAAACGAGCACAGCAGTTGTACGCTTTTTTTTTAATACAAGTGTATATCAGGAGTGTTGTAAAAATTTCGCATCATTACGATATTCTGTTGTTCGCTTTGTAGTACGTACTTATTTTCTTGTTTTTATCCACCATTTTAATTTGTTCTCCCGGACATCGCAGTAACAACCTCCCAACTCCTTCGCACCGTCTCAGTACTTCATTTTTGATCATTTTTTTCCTCATAGACTGACTCATAACCGAACAATTCATCAACCAAGTTTCAATATAACCAAAATCGCAAAGCAGTTGACAAGCGCCAAATTGCGAAAACTTGATTTTATTCATATAAATGTGATCAAGCCATGCTTCGCACATAATTTGTAAAATCATGTTACTAATCACATGATCGTCTGTTGCAATTAGGATTGGTGTTAGAATTCGGTCTACAATCAAATTTGCATCACAAGCAACATTTTCTTAGGGGGAAAATACCTAAATATTTATCAACATAAGGGCTCGGCTTTTCCGGTGCTTGAATCGCAACCCTTTTCCAGTAGGAATTTTCCGGAAAAATCATCTGTAGGTTGGCCAAACTGATGGTCCTGCAAACACTGGCCAAGCCTTTGACACACTCATTTGGAGTTTCCTATAATTGTTATTTTACAAGAATACAAATTATGCATAAGTCGGACGAACCTTCATTTTTTTTATGTTCTCATTGACTTCTGAGACCAGTTTGGCCCTCATCAAGGCACAAACTTGGACATGGACCCCCAGACCCCCCTTCTCAATGTCATTTCCATGATCGGCCAGCCTCAATCCACTCAACTGCCCCAAACAGCTCACGATATCCGTGTGAGTGATCATAAAGAAAGCATCAACATTCCAATTATTTGCAATTTTTTTAGTCTCACTCGCGGCCCAAAGCCTGGTTGTATGAACCGAGTGATCCAAGCGATGCAAAACGGGAATTTGCTCAACCAAAGACAACTCTTCTAATGGTGCTCCAATGATCCAATCAGGGGTAACCTCGCACTGGTTCACCAAAGTAACCAAATCTTGTAACACAGAGCAAAAGAGTTTGCCTGTGTCAGGATTCCCCATGGATTTGGATGCGACTAGAGCCAACCGGAAATGCTGATCCCATGACGTCAGAGTCACGTGGACACCCAAAGCGTCTGCAAGACTCGTCAATGCGGATAAAACAACCCTTGGGACGTCAGCAATGGGGATAAACTGGATGATCCACTCGCGTAAATGTTGGCTACTGTGAGGGGGGCGCGCACTCAGCGGGCTCGAAGCCCACCACAAAATTATATGTTCAAGGAAATTGCCAACCTCCCCCCACAAAATTTGTTCATAATAATCCAAGACTTTCTCCCGAGCTTTAGACTTGATTTTACTCCCGCCTGTACTTTTCGATTTTTTCACCCCGTCACTCCCTAACATGGAAGGGGATATTTTCAAAATCATGTCTAGTAAATCCAAAACGTTTTTTTCTTCATATGAAATCAGTTCCTCGATGCTTAGAAAATTCTCATTGTCATTTTCGAAGTTTGTTATTTTTGTTTTTGTTGGTGTTTCCGGGTCTGGGGGTGACATATGCTTGGTTAAAGCTCGATAAATTTCAAAACTCGAGTTATCTGAACTGTTATCATCATCACTGTTGTCATAAGACTTGTAAGTAGCAAGTAAACAATCGATTAATTTGTGACAGCAGAGTTCGGCTCTATTGTTTGCAATTATTTGAAGAAGACGTGTCACTGATATTTTTCGAAGAGGGAAGAAGAGATAAGGACACGTGTTATTACAAATACTGGTGTTTTTCTTTAGTCCGTATTTAGCGTCGAGCGAAAATAAATTATTATAAGCGGTTGAGATTCTAGAAATTGTAATACTTAGTTATAGTCCACCAATCACTCAACTGTGATTGGTCACTAGGACTATAGCAAACGGCCAATTAAAATTGACTATTTGCATGAATTGTTACCTTAATGTTAAAGTTAAGAAGATTTCGCCGTAGTAAATGAATAAATATGTAATTTCGTTGATAAGCTCTTGTATAAGATAGCAAATTTTTAATTTAACTTTCCATAGAATTTCCTTCCACAATTTTACTCTTTTCATAGTAATTAAGAAAGCGCTTTCAAAGTTAAATTTCTGAAATAATTGATTGTAATGTTCGACCATACCATCCATTGTTGAATGAATATTTTCTAATTCCTACAACCAAACTTAATTACAAATTATTTTCTCGATGAGATTTTAATTACTTGGATATTTAACTCGTTTTGCATACAATTATGGTGAATTTTTGAACTAGATTTTTTCTTCAGATTTTCCAAAAGGACACAAATGCGAAGTAACAAATTTGTCGATGTTTTTTTCAAATTTTTGCAGTCCTGGAAAATGTCTTCAGATTCTTTAACATCTAATGGCAACCATTTTGTAACAGTTTGTATAGTTCTCGACATCAGAGAAAATTAGAAAGTTTGGAAAATCAATACTAATTTACACAATACGTACCACGAACTAAACTTACACAATTTTATTAATAAATTTAATTAGTGGGGACATAATTAATCTAAATATAATTGATTTTTGTTTATTATTTTGTTTTGATTTGCAAACACGCAAAATCATGTTTTACGACCTGTATGCAAATTTATTTAGGCACTAAAGAAGAAATATATTGCACCCACAAGAAATAGGTTGCTATGGCTACTGATACAAATAAATATCGTTGCTAGGGATTGTAGAAACTGCTTATTGACTTTATTTATTTTTTCACAGAATTATTTTTTAGTTTACTTTAAAATAAAAACACATTTGTCATTATTTCACAAAATAAAGGGATTAGTGTGAACACTTGTATATTTAAATTCAATTTCAATAGCCCGTTGAATTTCGCGCAACCCCTAACTAACTTATGGGGGTCACAGAGTAACTCCGATTAAAATGTACTCACGTGGTGCGCACGTCGACCAAAAATGAATAAAATTGGCTAACTGGAACCAATAGTGATGCAACCAGCTAAATTTAAAATATATGAGCAAATGATAAACAATTAGCAATTTTGAGTGGTTTAAGTTGTTTAATGATTTTAATTATTCTAACAACGAATGAGTTGAACTAGAATGGAGAGCAAATGATTTTAAATGCATGTAAAATTTTGAGTTTAGAGAGATTTCAAAATTTAAATAATCTAAAAGCCAACAGTTGGTAAGAAATTAAGGTTAGATTAAAAGTATTTCTCTTATGGCGTTTCCAATGTAAAAGAATTGCGGACATAATTAAGTTATTTGAAATGATATCAACGTCGTTTCAAAAAAAAAATCTAGTACTTACCATATTATGGCTACTTAAATAAACACCTTTTCGGGCTAAAACACTTATAAAGACACCAAGGCTTCGAACTGAAAAAAATCTTCGGCCAATCGATAGAAATTTTTATTTGAAACAGCTTGGACCTGACCTGACCTGAAAATAAGGACAAGAGAAAAAAGAGCGATAGATTATAATAGAGAAGCCACTCAAAGGAAACAGATTAAAATCAAAGTACTTTAGGAAATTGTACCTAATGATAAAACTCCTCTAAATAGAAGAATAAGCAGTAATTTATTGATGAAAAACACTAAAGAAATAGGTAGTTCTTCTGGACAATGATGAAGAAAGCCCAGTAGACATGCAGAAAATGTTGAGGTAAAATGTAACAGTTGCATGTTGAGTAAGAACTGTCATATTACACCAACCAAGAGACTTTTTGAAAATGCTTTTATGAAACTAAGATGAGGAATCAAACGTGAACATTACGGAAAATAAAGAATATAATCAACACATTACTGAGACATTTTTGTTTTTGTTAAAGTTTTACTTGTAATATAGATTAAAATTTTTTAAAATAAATATGTGTTTGTGTTTTAAGTTCTGTTTGCATTATTTCTTTCTTCACCTTACATCAGTACCTATTTAATAGCAAAAGCTTTAATAGAACTGACAGATAATTACGACAGTCAGAGTAATTAGATTAGACGGTAAAATTACATTTTTTTTCTAGTGTACAAAATAAACTCTTCAACAATAAATTGAAGTGGATATTAACTATTTTTCAAAAATTTGCATTTAAAATGTACTACTCCTAGGTTAAAAGAGTAGCAATACCTACTGACAATTGACATGATTTCGAAAGTTCGTTTTGCGTTTTGTTTTATACTCCTATTATTTTTTATTTTTATATTATTTTGTATGTCCTTTTTTCTTTAACGATAAGATGCAGGGTTGTAGATATAATACATCAAAAGCCATATCTCAAGATTTTATCAATAATTGTAATTGTAGTAATTTGTTAATGAGTCATCCAAATAGAGTAAGATACCTAATAAGAGACAGGGGTGATCCTACACCATACTAGGTTTAGGAACGGTGAAAATTTTAGAATTTACCTTCAGTTTTAACGGAATGAATTGAAATTTATTTATTGCAACTGTTTTTTATTTAATATCCACTGAATAAAAAATTAAGAGTATTCTCTAATATCTATTTTAATATATCCACTTCAATTGTTGAGTAGTTTAAAATAAATGATGTTGTTTATTTATGTGTATTTCCATTAGGTGATCACTGATTATACCAGTGAATCTGCTTCTTCGAAACAATTGTTTTTAGTTATTATTACAGAAGTAATTAATGTCTTGTGGTCTTTTTGTTCATACATCTTGTATAGCAAAATAAGACTAAAATTACTAATCTTTTAAAACGTCGCTTAAATCCTAAAATATAAAAAAAACTAAAACAGATTTTCTGATTTAAAGTAATGATTCTGTAACAGCTTTAGAATGCAAACATGATTTATCATACAAATTACCCCACAATTTACATAAAAATTTATCTTATTCTTATCATATTTTTGCGACCCCTGACCTCATTCATTTATATTGACAATGTGAAGTCGAAAATAATTAGTTCATTCGAGATCGATTACCTATTAATAACTAAAAATGTACAAAATAGTAGTCCGTACTCGACCTATTTTTCCCAAACTTAAAAATTTGCGATTTCTAAGTGCTGGTGCTCCAAAACCTGACGGTCCTTTATTTCCCCACAAAGATGAGTTTCCCAGCCGACACATCGGGCCTCGGGACAGCGATATTATACAAATGTTGGATTCGCTCGGCTTTAAGGTAAAATTAATCAATTACTTACAATAATGTTTAATCAATTAATCAAAATTTAAGAGTTTAGATGAGCTGACTGGTAAGGCCGTTCCACAAAATATTCGCTTGAATCGACAATTAGACATTGAAGAACCCGTAGGTATGGAATTATTTCGTCCAAGTCAAATGTCATGACTCATGAGATAACAAACTACAGGGGGTCTTTGGTAGTAACAATTTATCTTGTTTTCAGGCGAATATGAGCTGATAAATCGAATAAGAAAAATAGCGGAAAGAAATCAAATTTGGAGGTCATACATAGGTATGGGATACCACAATTGTTGTGTGCCTCATACCATTATGCGAAATATTTTTGAAAATCCTGGTTGGACCACTCAGTATACTCCTTACCAACCGGAGGTGTCCCAAGGGAGACTTGAAGGACTTCTTAACTACCAGACAATGGTCTCCGATCTTACAGGATTAGATGTGGCTAATGCTTCACTTTTGGATGAAGGCACTGCAGCTGCTGAAGCTCTTTCGCTTTGTTATCGACATAATAAAAGAAGAAAAATGTTGCTTTCTGATAAGTTACATCCCCAAACAATTTCAGTTGTAGAAACAAGGTTATCATCTTTGGGGCTACAAGTTGAAGTTGTTGACGTTTTTGAAGCAGATTTCTCTAACAGAGATGTTGCTGGGGTACTCTTCCAATATCCAGACACTGATGGAAATATACTAGACTTTAGCTCTGTCGCGGAAGCTGCTCATTCGCACGGTACCATACAAAATAGAAAAAGTAACAAGTTGATTTTGATTTTTATTATATTTAGGTACTCTAGTGTGTTGTGCCACCGACTTGCTCGCTTTAACACTTCTTCGACCACCGAGTGAATTTGGTGCCGATGTTGCTGTCGGTACTTCCCAAAGATTAGGAGTACCACTGGGTTATGGTGGGCCTCATGCTGGGTTTTTTGCTTGTAATCAATCTTTAGTACGACTCATGCCAGGCAGGATGATTGGAGTAACTCGAGATGCTGCAGGCCGAGACGGTTATCGCTTGGCATTACAAACACGTGAACAACACATCAGGAGGGATAAAGCTACAAGTAATATATGTACCGCTCAAGCGTTACTAGCTAATATGTCGGCCATGTTTGCGGTTTACCATGGGCCACAAGGGCTCAAAGATATTGGTACTAAAATTCACAACCTGACTTTGGTGAGTAATTTTTTTTTATTACTGTAGTAAAACCTCAATTATCCGGATACCGGTTCAGACTTTGCACATAATCCAGTCAATGGAAGCTCAGAAAGAAATTATACAGGGCATAACGGAATGATGGGGACAAAGGGTAACTTGAGATTCTTCAGTTTAAAATAAACCCGATTTAACCCAACTTACCTCTATACCAACTTGTAGTTAGAAGGCGCCAAAATTTAAAAATTATTTTCCTTTTTCTTTAATAACTTTTTAATGGATTAATTGATGTTTATGAAATTTGGTACAGACAATATGATGATATCAAAACCACATTTTTTGGTGCAATTTCTTTTATTTTATTATTATGGTGAAATACTTACTTGACACATTTAAATTATTAATTTAAGCAAAACAAATCATTATTTCATTAGCGTCTTCGAACTTTTAAACGATGATGCAATTTGATATAAAAGTAAGTTGGGTTAAATAACTTTAATTTGACCTGGGAAATCTAAGTTTACTTTTTGTTCCCATCTTTTTGTTACACCCTGTATATAGAATATATTGTCGAAGTTATTATACAGCGTATAAAAAAAATTGTAAAACATTTAAGGAGGTATAGTAATATGGACCAAAATAAACAAATAAGTGTTAATAATCGGTGGGTCCGCAAAGTAACGGTTTCGGAGATATCGAATGTGAAAAATTTTTAGAATTTTCACTAGAATCTTTTCTTTTTTGTTTGAACAGACTGCAAATAAATGTTTAAAAAAAAAACGAATAATTTTCGATATCTCCAAAACCGTTACTTTGCGGACCCATGTTCATTAAGACTTTTTTGTTTGTTTTATTACCTCCTGAAATATTTTACAATCTTTTTTTAGCACCCTGTATTATATGGTGCAAACTTAAAGTCGAGTTTAAAACTTATAAAATTTTCTACAAGACTGTTTTTTCAGTTTTTTTGTATCTTAAATAATTTTTGGGATAATTGCTTGCAAATATTGCATTAAAAAAAAACATAGATGAAGGAAGTACCTAATTTTTGTCTTTCCAAGGGGCAAAACTTTTTTTCTTTTAAAAACACCCATAATTATTAACTATAATGTGCCTGTAAATAATAATTATCGATTTCTGTCTGTAAAGAGCAATGTTACATACACAAAAATGGTCTGGTAACTATGGCATAACCTTATTGAAAAGTCAATTTTACAATATCGATAATTATGTCATTTTTACTGACATATCGATATTGTAAAATTGTAAACTTGCTCGGATTTCAAACTGGCATCTGCAGCTGTCATTACATCCTAGAATTTTTGGATTTAATTTGTTTCAATTTTTGGATTTAATTTGTTCCAATTTTTGGCTTATTCGACAGAAACCGATAAAATCTTGAACAAACCTCGGATGTAATAATGTCATAACAGCCTTAGATGTCTTAAAATCTTCGCTCGGATTTCAAACTGACATCTGCAGCTGTTATGACATTCAATACATCCTACGTATGTTAATAACTACACAAAATAATAATTATTCAATCAACCTTTTGCATAAATGCACTTTCTTGCAATTGACTATTAGTCAGATAGTGAGGTTGCATTGTATACTATTTTGTAAATTTGTTTACAGGTATTAAGTCACGGTTTGCGACAAGACGGTAATAACTTGACGAATGAGCTCTTCTTTGACACTATTCGAATCGAGCCAAAGCTGTCAGTGGAAGAGATCCAACGTAAAGCTAATGCGAAAAAAATTAACTTGAGATACTTTGACGATGGATCTGTTGGAGTTTCACTTGACGAAACTGTTACTTTTGAAGATGTTAATGATCTTTTTGAAATATTTGGCAGTTCGCATAAAATTGAAGATTTGCTTAATAACCCAATGGTTCGTGAACATTCGATAACCAAAAGTGAATATAAAAGAACTTCTCCATTTTTAACACATCCAGTATTTAATTCACATCATTCTGAAACAAGAATCGTCCGTTACATGAAAATTCTTGAAAATAAAGACATTTCTTTGGTCCATTCAATGATTCCGTTAGGTTCCTGTACAATGAAACTGAATTCTACAACAGAAATGATGCCTTGCTCTTTTAAACACTTTACCGATATCCACCCATTCGCTCCTCTGGATCAAAGTTTGGGCTACCACCAGTTATTTGCGGAGCTTGAGAAAGACCTTTGTGCTATTACAGGATACGATAAGATTAGCTTCCAGCCTAATAGTGGAGCGCAAGGAGAATATGCAGGATTGAGGGCTATTCAGTGCTACCATGATGCCCGAGGTGATAAAAACAGAGACGTTTGTTTAATTCCTGTAAGTGCTCATGGAACTAATCCAGCAAGTGCTCAAATGGCTGGTATGCGGATTGAACCAGTCAGAGTGAAGCATGACGGCTCAATCGATGTTGAGGATCTTAAAGCAAAAGCAGAAAAGTTTAATAATCGTCTCTCATGCATGATGATCACTTATCCTTCCACCAATGGTGTTTTTGAAGAAACAGTGGCTGATGTCTGCGATATTATTCATAAAAATGGCGGTCAGGTTTATCTAGATGGTGCCAACATGAACGCACAAGTTGGTTTATGCAGACCTGGCGATTATGGAGGTGACGTTTCTCATTTGAATTTGCATAAAACTTTTTGCATACCTCACGGAGGTGGTGGTCCTGGCATGGGACCGATCGGGGTCAAGTCACATCTAGCACCATTTTTGCCAGGTCACCCCGTAGTCAATCCTTTAGGGGAAGATTCACCCACTTACGGTGTTGTTAGTGCTGCACCGTTTGGTTCTTCAGCGATTCTTCCCATTTCTTGGGCTTACATTAAAATGATGGGGGCTCGAGGCTTAAGAAAAGCCACTCAAGTTGCCATTTTAAATGCCAATTATATGTCGAAAGTATTAGAACAACATTACACAACTTTGTTTAAAAGTCCAACTTCGAATTTGGTCGCTCATGAATTCATTATTGATACAAGAGAGTTTAAAAAGACTGCTAACATTGAAGCTGCTGATATTGCAAAAAGACTGATGGATTATGGGTTTCACGCACCTACAATGTCGTGGCCTGTTGCTGGTACTTTGATGATTGAACCGACGGAATCAGAAGACAAACAAGAATTGGATCGATTTTGCGATGCTCTTATTTCGATTAGACACGAAATTAAAGAAATTGAGGATGGAGTGATGGATATAAGAGTGAATCCATTGAAGATGGCGCCTCATACACAGGAACAAGTTATTAACAGTTCTTGGGAAAGACCATATACAAGAGAACAGGCAGCTTTTCCCGCACCGTTTGTGAGACCAGAAGTTAAAGTATGGCCGACTGTTGCAAGAATTGACGATATTTATGGTGATAAACATCTCGTATGTACGTGCCCACCCATTTTAGACGAATACAATTACTAGACAAAAATAAAAATGTACCTATTTATTAAGTCAACTCTATAAAAGTTTCTAATTTCATGTGCTCAAATCTTTAGAAAGAATCTGGCACAGCACAGATCAATCTAGTCATCAAATTTTTGTTTGCTCTTAAAATTTTTACAATCGTTGTTCTAATAATAAGAAATTTGAGTGCAGTTTTTTCTCTATTATAATCACAATAATAATAAAACAATACAAAGTTGTTTTGTCGTTTTTTATATAATCCCACTTTTGAAAGAACTTAAACACATTGAATATTTTAGTTGTTGTTGATAATGATAAACAACTAAAAGCAAATTTAACATTGGCGACATTTATAGTCTTTGTCTATAATACTTACTATGACCATACCACTGAGCAGACAACTACATTTACCTAATTGATAAATTTCGAGCCACAAAATTCAATTCACGCAAAAGGGAACTGTAAACTGTTCTCTAAAAATTTTTGTACCGTGAAAAACTGTAAAGGTAGGTAAGTAAAATTTTGCATATTGTTTGTTAATGTCATTTTTATTTAAATGACTTATCTTGTTATAAACGGTGTCAAATACTCAGATAAAATTGCCACTGTTTATTTTTAATTTTTTTTATTCGCTTTCTTTTGATGATATGGACATTTTCATTGCTTATGCTTTGTATTTTTATCATTTATGAAAAATTAACATTGTTTTTGGGATAATTTGATAATTTAAACAAAATTATCTGATCTAAGCCAACAGTTGGCAAAAACTTATACTTAAAATTAAAAAAGACCTGGCAGAAAAACTGTTTAAGAGAAGATTCACCTTGGTTTCATAAATATCATGGCTAGTATGGACAAGAAAACAGCCAGTTTTTCCCGTCCGTTTGTGAGACCAGAGAAGTTGTTACAAAAATTGACGATATTTATGGTGTTCGTATCCATTTTGGACAAATTACTAAAAGTTAAACAAGAATGTATTTATTGAGTCAACACTATAACAATTTTTAAGGAAATATATTATTTGCTAAAATCTTTAGAACGGATCTGGCACAGCGCAAAATAGTATCAACAAGGTTTTATTAATAATAAATGTTTGTCACACCATCAAAACTGTTTGATGGTTCGCTTTTCTCGGGTAATACAATAGTGTTAATGCGGTTAAACTTTTACAATCTTTGTTCATAATAACAATAAATTTGAGTGCAGTCTTTTCCTTATTATAAGCACAACGATAACAAAAATAATATAAAGTTATTTTGTCATTTTTTGTACAATCCCAGTTTCAAAGGAACTTCCTTGCTTTGTCGAGAATTCAAAGGAATGGGGAACGGGTTGAATATTTTATTTGGAGATTTTGAACTTGGCGATTTATCACTACCATCAGAACACGGGGATTTTAAGTACGAATATTTTGCACTGATGGGATTATAGCAAGTCGAACCTTCATCAAAATTTAGGGAAAAATTATCTTTTACGTTAACAATATTTTGAATTTCACTTTTTGATTCTTCGTCATTGGCTTTATCCAGACTGTTCTCTGATATTTTATCAAAATTCACAACACTTGAAATAATTGGATCATCAAGTCTTGAATCACTAGAGTCATTTTCGTCCTTAACAGTTCTCAAATTCATAACACTTGCATTTAAAATTAAGTTGTTGTACTTTTCATCCAAATTCCTGCTTTTTTCAAGTATGCTGCTATATCTGGAACCATATTCAAGAGACTTGGTTTCCTGTTTTACTGCATCGTTATTTGTTGTGCTCGGCCAGTGTTCCGTTTCATGAGTTGGCGAAGAATTGAGGTTAATACTGCTTAACGTATCATAGAAAGTCATTGATGTCGCTTCTTTGTCTTTCGGCGATGCTATTGTTGCCTCAGATGCATTGTCCTGGTTGACAAAAGGTGGTGGCGGTGATAATCTTGACTGACATTGCATTATTCTATGTAGAATTAACGAATTCTCTTGAATAATTTGTAAGGCGCGTTCACTATTTCTTCTACCGTATGTAATTCTATCTTCCTCTTCCGGTTCCTCATTAGTCGGTGTTTTAATTTCTTTAAGGCAACGAACACGATCTTCTAGAAACTTTTCAAAATCGACGCTGTCATCGTCGGATTCTGCTACATCAAATATGTCTTTCACACTGGTTGAAGCGGAATTATCAAAAATATCACTACTAATTTGACTATTGGAAGAATTGGCAACATCGACTTCTTCAGCAACGGCTTTATTGTCTTTATTCATAAGATTTTCGGGATTGTCATCTACAAATTGACTTTTGATTTCTTCATCTTCTTCATCCGAAGACGCTTCGCTTGGATCGTCGCAGAGTTCAGTATCTGATGACGAAGAACTGTCGCTGGTTTTAGGGGCGTCTTTCCACAAAAGAGTGCTTGGGGGAGTTCTAGCCGGAGGAATACTTCCTTTAGGCGGACCCAACCTTTTAGCAGGAACCAAAGCACTTTTTCCTAATAGCAAATGATTCATAGCGACTGGAGTACTAGGAGGAGGTTGTCTAGATATAGCAGCACTAAAAATTATGTGAGCCTGTCTCTGTCTTTGTTTTAACTTTGCATATTGCTTTTTGAGGGCGCTTATATCTAGCACCAATCTGTCTTTTGCGTACAGTTTCATTTGCTTGTCAATACTGTCGGGAAATATAGTTGTAGGTACTGCACTACCCCAAGGGTTTATGTTGTACAAGTAATGTTCACGAAGACTCTTGAGTTCATTTAGAGGTCCTATTGCTACCACAGTTTTGATTAGAGAATTTGCATCAATTAGCTCAAACTCGAGAAGTTCGCGAGTTAAAGCACCCATAATGCAGTAGAATTCGTCCGCGCTTCGAACGCCCATTATTCGATCCGCCAAAGTTTGCCAGATTGCTAAAGCCGTGCGAAGAAGTATCTCATTACCTTCGAGAAGAATCAAATCCCAAACACGCAAAACCGTCGGTTGTGGCAGACAATTACAAAACAATGTGAGAAACCTGAAATAACAAACTTAGTTAATATTATAATTTATAATCAAATGTCACTTCAAATTACCACTGCATGGTGAAAACATTGGTTAAAGGAGGTTCGTAGCTGGTGGTTCCTTCTTTGGCCGCATTTTGTAGAGCATCTAAATGTTTTGAAAGACGTGGTAATCGAGCCCTTAGTAACTCTCTAAAAACAGCCATGTCGACGGAAAGTCCACGTAAACTATCAGCGAAATATGAGTCGGGGAGCACTCCTTCTATGAGATAAATCATGAGTTTCAAAGCATCAGTCTCACATTTATCAGTCACTTGAAGTATCAGAGCTGCTAACATGTTAAAACCTTGACAATAGCCTAAAACGCACAAATTGAACCACTTGCCTGAAATTGAGAATTATAAACTCACCGACAGCTTTGTTCCATCTAGCATAAGCCAGAAGTACTCTCTTTAACAAGGCTTGATTTTCTTTTCCATCCTTTCCACAAAAAAGACTACATCCAGTTCGATGCAAATCTTTTACAATTTGTACCCCCAACTCGGAATCTGTTGGATGCGACCACTCACTGAAGCAATTTCTCTCCACATTAGACCAATCGATACCGCGAGCTGCCAAGTGTCTGTCAGCCAATGTAAGCCATAAACGTTTTCGAAATTCAAGAGGTATGCCACCGGATAATTGAGCCACCATCTTCATAGCTGCTAACCATTGGGAAAAGCCCGATTCTCCAGGGCCTGGTTGGATTGAAAAACGCATCTCTGGGCCGTCCGGACCACTTCCTGTGAATAAAAGCACACATCAATTTTCTAAAATTCCAAGCAATATGCGTGCAATAAATATTTATAGACAGCTTTAGAGGATATGATGGATGGAGGCTGTTAAACATGACACAAATTGTTTTTCAAGAGAAATGACGAGTCGTGCTTATAAAATCACTAGACATAAAAAAGTTGCGTCAATTGTAGGAATCATAAAAAAAAATTATAAACCAAACAAATTATTGCAACGGAGTATCGACTACAATTTTTTTTACTTAAACTATGAAAAATGCATATCTTTTGAAAAATATACACATAATTATAATAAAACATTCAGAATGAGTCTGTTAAAAGTATGCAGTCGAATTTCCAAGAAACAGAAACTCAAATTCGAATTACGGAAAGATGCGCCAAATTTAAGCTTTAAAAAATCCCTTACCAGATTGTTACTTCAATCGGCTTAATTTTACAAAACGGGGCAAGAAACTGGGATTCCAATATAAGGTTTTGCCTGTCGTTATCGTAAATTGCGGTAACTCCCGCAAATACAATAAGTATTAATAGTTTGAAAAAAAATTCAGAAATATTCGAGTAATAAACCTAAATTAAAAATTCCACTTATCGAGAAAAAACTACAATGCGGTACTATTCAATATTAAATAGAAAATTAATTAATAATCAGAGAAAATTCAGCATTTGCCATCATTTCATTACGTAGTATGTTTTTTTCTTTGAATATGTAGTTTATTAAGATCCTATTGTTTATACTTTCTATTTGTAATAATAAATATATTGATTAATTTTTATTAATTTAACAAAACATAATAACTATTTATTCTTTCTGTTATGGATGCTAAAATGTCGTATGGTAAGGGTAAATTAACTGAAGAAACTAATTTCGTTTATTAGTTTTAAATTATATTTACTTATCAAAAATTTATAGTACCACACGGTTATGCAAGAAAGATGACGACTCAGATCAAACTAAAAGCAAAAAAATATTATTACTATAAACAACATTTTGTCATTTTTGTTTTAATAGTTTTATTACTAATTTTTAACAACCGAAGACTTGGAATAAAAGAATTAAGTATTTAAAAAAAAAGTAGTGTATAAGTCTTGAAATAATTAAAGAGTTTGAAAATTATCTAGAAAACGGTCACGTCATCTTTGCTCTGGAGTCTGTTTTTTTTTTAACGGAAATTTATTTATTGTTATTGTTGATGAGACCGACCCTAAGAAAATTTAGACAAAAACACAAAAGTCGAGACAAATTCGGTATCGCAAACAGAAATCAGAAAAAGATCACCGTTAAAATTTAGATGCAATTTGTAATGCGCGTTTGCTAAACACGTGGCTAAACATTATCTAAGTTTAAACAAGAAATTGACGAGAATACAAAATAAACATGAATGGGAAAGAACACAATTAAATTAGTGTCTGTATGCATCGTTTTTGAAGAACGAGTTAAATAAGTAACAATTTTGAATATAACTGTTGAACAATTTTGGAGCCTATTTTTTAATGAATTACACAAATGCCAAATTTCAGAATATTTTTTGCAAAATTACTTTTTTTATAGACTATCTTTACATATTAGGTAGTGTTGTAATGATGTCTGTCCTCAGGTATTCAATTATAACGCTTTCAAAAAGTAAACAGCTACCCAAAATTCATAAAAGTAAAAATTTTAACAACATTTCAACATGAAAACGCAACCATATTTTAGGCTGTACTATACAGGGTGTTTCACACAACTTTACCAGGCTTGCGCCTAATGTACGCACCCATCAAATCTACAAAAGTCACAAAACACTGGATAGAAAAAATACACAGTTAATTTTTGGAAACCCATGACAGTAGTTGTCAAACTAATCACTGTTTCATTAATAGTCATGCAGCTTTTCAGAATCAATTATGATTTGTTCTATCAAGAGACGACATGAAAATGATTCTAGTTTATCTATCTTAATCACTAACTAACTAAAGACGTTGTAATTTTTGAAAGGGTGAACAAACTAGAGAAGATTATTCAATTTTTCTAAATTTGTAATCGAGTTCGTATCGGAATATGTATTATTGATTGCATCTTACATTAACATTATATGAAACACTCTGTAGGTGTATTTGTATAAAAAACGTTACCTTCTCAAACTTGAAAGTTAGTTTACAAAATTTAAGAGCTTTCGTGTGTTTATCTAATCCCAGACGTACCCTTATGTAGACACGGAATATTTCAGCCCTCGTGACGTTGCTCATTATGGCTTAACATTTTAATTAATAAACAACCTACGTCAGGTGTTGGCTTTAGTACTAAATTTCCATAAACAGGAAACATGAGAGTCTATTTTATTTTCAACCTTTATCTTCCCCAGTGAAAATTAAACGAAATGAAAATAAATGTGTGGGAGTCAACAAAGATAAAGTCGATTTTCTGTTATGAATTAAACAACAAAAGTTTCAAATCAATACGGAGAAAATAGAGAATACAATAAGATGCAATAACACGAAACGAAAGCACATTTAGTAAAATTTTCCATAACGTTATTTAAACTCGACTGTTTTGACTTGAAATAAATGTAGGTAAATTACACCAATTAGTAAGCAGCAGACAAATCGATAAACGCTTATCCTGCATTATGTATCGGTTAATCCAGAGCTTGTCCCATTTGTAATGCTAACAAGTAAACATTTTTCATGCTGGTGAGTGGTGAACAAATTGCCTTATTACTTTTTTAAGAAAGGATATTCACCTTTCTAATGTCAATTAAAAAATGTTAATTCTAATTAATAATAACTGTTTTCAAATTAATCAAACATCAAAGTTTGTACTTAGGTAAGTAGTTACTGAACATTAATAATGTTAACATTAGTTTGAGTAAAGGGTAGGGAGAAACTTTATTGGTAACACTTAACTACATTAATTTACGATCGGAATAAACTCAATTGTAGTTTTATTTAAAGAAACGAAAGGTAACTTCTTCGAAAGAATATACAAGTTGGTATTTCAGTTTATTCCAGGACAAGAAAACAATTCTTGATAAAAAAAAGTACCACTGAGGGAATAGTTTTACTAATCCATTATTTTTAATAACATATTTACGATTAGGTATACAGGACATTCTGAATTGAGGAACATTTTCCTGGTTTCTTGCTAGTCGCAAACACGAGAAAACAAATCCAATAAACACATGATACACAAAGAAAATACCATTTTAAATCCTCCAGAGAAATTAGAGAGGCGATCATGTTGGAAAACACAAATTCTTTTGTTTATCAGGTTATTTTTTGGAATATAGACTGGTTTCTGAAAGCATGTGTAACGGAGAGAAAAATTTAAAACTCACTTAAACGATAAGACAACACTAATCAGAGCAGCGCTACTTTAGCAACCATCAAACAATTTTTTTCTTAAATAACTAATAGACCTATCTATAAAGGCTGTCCCAATTAAAATTTGCGTTTTTAAAAAAATGCTGAAACAGGTCTACACTGTTTTTAAAATTAACTATAGGTTATTTTTTATTATACTTGCATCATAATCCTCAATTAAAACACGCTGCAGCGTGCGTAATTTGGCCTTTATAGCACGCTGAATTTTAAAGTTGTCTAAGTAACAAGAAATAATTTGATAATTTTATTGTGTAAATTCACATTTTTTCAACATAAGAGATCGTAAATGGGCAGGTATAATAAAAAATAGCGTATAACACTCGTTTATAAGCGCCTTTAAAACGCTGACGCGTCGTGCTCTTAAACCCGTCGTTCGTGTTTTAAAGGCTTGCTTATAAACTAGTATTATAATATACTATTATAGGAAATTATTTTTAATTTTAAATTCTGAAACCGGTATAGTGTATACCTAATACAATTGATCTTTGTGATCAACTATGAATGTCTGAGTTGGTAAAAGAATTCAGAACACTCCAGCTAAATTTGATATTGCTTGAGAAAAAACTAGAATACGTTTCTACTGAAATGTATTGAAATTTAATGTTGAGGATAATTTTGTCAACAACAAAAAGTTACTCTAAATTCACCAATTAAGAATAAAGTTTAATAATTTTTGATCACCCGGTATATTAACCGAGCAATTGTTAGTTTGTTTGACACTCGGTTTCTTGTAAACAGTTTTCTTGAATTATTAAATTATTATATCTTTTGTTAGTATACTGGAAATTATGTTCATAAATTTTACTGTACATTGTAATAAATGCTAGTAATTTATGTGATAAAAATCCATTTTTAAACTTTTTTGAGGTCAATGAACTCTTAAGAGGGATAACACCAAGGAAAACTGAAGACAAGAAGAAGAATGTGACTAGCAAGACCCAAAATGTACTTCGTTGGTTGTGAGTTTTGCAAATATGGATCTATTGCTAAGTTATGTGTAATAACTAATAATTAATTTTTTTTAAATCTACATAAAGTAAATACAATAAATTTTTTTGCAGTTACAACAATCGAGTCGTAAGTAAGGTTAACAAAACTGTTAATATTTATAGTATAGTGCAAAAAAAAGATCAGGATTAAGAAAAAAACTCAGAATGTGTTGTTTTGAGTCTCATACAGGTCACAATCACAATACAAACTCTATTTCTACTTTGTTTAAAACCAGCGAAAAACTCACCAGTCCCCCTTTGCACCATCGAACCAGCATATGCAGCTGTATTCTTAATAGAGCTAAAGAACCCGCTCATGAGGACATGTTCTGCACGCATTCATCGCTAGGTATAGACAAACTGCACTCTCTGGCTGATCTATCAGATGTGACCGACTCACACAGGAAAATAATATCTACACTCAAATTTCATCCTTTTCTCAATTACGACAAAGGATAGAGATAGAGTGATAGGAACACCAGTTCTAATCTCCTTGAATCTGGCTAGTATTGATTTTAGTACTCACGTTTCAGAAGTTGGCTGGTAATGACGTCAGAGTGTGCGTCTTGTTGACGACGCAAAGCGTCGCGGCGCTTCAGTTGCCGTACCAGAATGCTTCCAGCGCGCTCCACGTGACATTCCAAATAACTAATCAGAGATAATAATTCTGTTGCATCTGTAAAAAGTAAATCTTGAAGATTATGTCACGACAAAAATTCATATTTTACAATAAATAAAGCTTTAAGTGTTTTATAAAGAAAGATAAAGTTTATTCAGTGAAGTGCGACCACTTCCAAACAATAACAGGAGAAAATTTAGTTCGGTTAAAATAAACATTATCATTTGAGGGAGTGTAAATAGGAGGAGTTGCCCCAATTTCTGAAATTTCCATAGAATTTAATTTGATGTTTACAAAGCAGGTGTATTTAAACCCGATAAAGCGATCGATCATGTTAAAATATGAATTCAAAAGTACATACATATATCAATCCTCATGCTTTTAATTAATATTCTAGCTTTGCGTGTTTTGTTGTCGTTTTATTGCTCCCCCTATCATTGTACTATCTGTTATTAAATTAGGTAAACACACCTTTTCCCTGCAAATTATTAATTTCGGCAACGAAGCTCCGATGGGACTTGCTCGAAGTTGCAGAGTTGTAATCGGATCCGTTAATATTGCTATAGATGTCTACTAAAAGCTCTTCTACTAAATCGGAGGCTCTTCTTTTCTCGTAATCTGTGTATTTGTTTGAAGGACTTTCCATCGAACTTTTTCGTATTGAAAGCGTTACCGGTACAGCTTGGATGATTTCTCCAAAGACCGATTGTTGTGGTGGAGTTTGATGGTGGAGGATCATATCACCGAACATTTCGCGACTGCACGATTCTAACTGACGGACACGCTGTTTCGTTGACATGTTGCACTGGTGGTTTTAATTTATGCGATAAATGTGTATCCGGCACTTGTAGATAATATGCAACTACTTAATTTATATTATCGCCGGAAATTGTGACGATTTTTAATATATTCTACTACCTTCCTACTAGTAATAATACGGTAAAATTATTGTTACCTCATTCTTAAATTTTTAAATTCTTATCTCAGAAACATGATTCTTGAAGTTTTTACTGTTTGTACAAACTTGCAGCTTTTATTAGATTAGTTTTTCCTGACAGTTTAAAATTGTGAGGTCGAAAGGAGCGGAACAAAGATATTGAATAATTTATAAGAACGAAAAAAGTACGTAACTCGAGAGAATTGTACAAAGAATAACAAAGATAAAACGATAAGCAAAAAGAAATCTTGAAGGAACGATTGTAAAACTAATAAGATACAAAACTTTGTTTTACTTAATATAAAACTCTTATTTCAAGCTAAAAAACTACTCTAAAAAACCTATGTGTTTATTTTTAGGATAGTGAATTGTTACTAGCGTTTACATAGTTACAAACGAGTCTGGTAGATAATATTTACCGGTCCAGTTCGTTAGTAGTCTATCTACCGACCGGTAACATGTCTACTGGACTCGTTTGTATGTAAATGCTGGTTAATTTTTTTTTATGAATTTTTGCTTAACTTAAAAGTAATTGCTGCAGTATCCTAAAAAATCTTAGACAATATACGACTGGTAGCATTTTTATGGTCTTGCCAAACATGTAGGTCTTGCCATACGGCTCGACCTGTAAAGTACTGCCCCGGCCATAAAAATGTTGCTACTGGGCTAATACCGTAAATAGCTATTATAAATTTACTAACGGCGACATAATGCGTTTCAAAAATTTTCTTATTTTCTAAAGCTATTCTAAAGGGTGATTATCATAATTACAAAAGGAAAGGAAGCCATAATAACTTACCTTTGAGGTATAATATTTTAGCATCGGAAAATTGTTCAAAGAAGCAATCTAAACAAAGATTGCATCTTTTGAGCACTTATCTGCTTTATTCCAACGTTTACTTTAATTGCTAACAGTCTTTGATATTTGAAATAAGTAGATTGAAAAGTATTTTGGACAAAAAAATCGGAGCTAAATTACTATTTTTTTAGCCACTATTTAGATATATTGCACTTTTTCCTTTTGCTGCTTTTGCAAATTTTAAAAAGAATGCTTATCTTATTGCCATCATTTGTTTGACGGTCGTATAGACTGTAGAATAATGTACATTTAATTTTAATTTTGGCCGTACTAGATTATACGGATGTAGATTTTGTAAAGGTGTAGTGCTCTCTTACTATTTTTATTGCATTCAAAATATTCTTGAATCTTATCATTCTTGATTAACACCAAAAAGTATAAAAACAGTAAAAGAAAATTCGAACTAACGACATTTTTCAACATTATTTGATATTATGTATTTTTTCCACTGTCTATTTTAATGAATAGGTGAATAAAAACTATGAAACCAAACGTTTTTAGCTTAAACTATTAATTTTTTAACTAATTGATCAATGATAAAGTGCTAAGAAAATAAAGTTGAAACAGGATACAGCATTGATTAAGCATATATCCCAAACAATAGACGACAATAAACTAAGAAGTATTGTCATATCTTTAAAAATAATAAAGTTATGGCTTGAGGAGTTTTCTATAATTTAGCCGTTATTTATATGTACTCCTCTTGCTATAACTGTCACCATTTCTGTAACTTTTCACTATGAAATAGGGGAACCTTTTGGCTCAAAATTTGTCAGTAAGGTTTATTTGTTACATAGATTCTTCTTTTACATTCAAATCAAATATTTCTCACCAATCTCATAACTATACAGAATCTCCCCGGATCGAGTTTACAAGAGGAAACATTTTTTTTTGATTTTACATTTACGCCAAAACTGCAAAGGAAAAACATTTTTTGCTTCACCTGAAACGAGCAAATCTGTAATTAAATCTTCCTTATTCTGATTCAGTGAAAAGAAAAGTTAAGTTTTCTCTTGATTTTGGACTTTTAATTAATAATTTTTCTCTGCTTATAAATTTGAGGGACAAAGTTTATACATACATATATCTATTAATAAACAAATTTATACATGTAGCACCTATTCCTCATCTGCACATGCGCATTCTTCATCGTCTTCTTCATCTGTTTTATTTGGTTGGTGGTGTGACTTCTTTAGTTCTTTTGAGCAAAAATTCTTTTGGCAGCGCTTGTTTCTGTTATTTTTTAAAGTGGCTAGTGCGTCAACTATCAAACGAACTGCATTTAGCCTAAAATTGACAGACAAAACGCGTTTTGTTTGAATCAACACATGGGACTAAATGCAGTTTGAATGTCCAGCCAACTTTCAATGTTTTTTTTCAACACAGGGCAAAGTGCGATTTGAATTTCCAGGAAACGTTCATTGGAAAGACAATTGCATTTAGGCTGCAACGCAACATTTATCTCAATTTATAAAAAAAAATGGACAAACTGCATTTTGAAAGTCTGCTCCTTAATTACTCTAATGATCATAATTTGAAAATATTGCCATCAGCTATGAAAAACCGACTCAACACATATGATAAAGAAAACAGTGCAGTAGATTCACAAATCATCTAGGTACATATAATAATGTAATTATAATACTCTTGAAACTTATTTTGGTGGACTAAATCTACTCTGTGTAATTTCACAATCCCGATCAAAAAAGATAAACTTAAGAGAACCGTGAGATATAAAATAGGTACATAAAAATTTACAAGGTGACAACGAAGTGGAAAAACTTACATTCAACAATAATTATTAGCACTCGCATAAAATTTGAGTAAATTGTATGACATATGGCAGTTAGCATAACTAGACAACAATGTGTGTTTTTTGAGACATGGACACTTAGAATAACACGATATATATTAAATTGTGATATCTGCATATCAAATGTGCCAAAAGTCTGTTTGGTCATAAATTTTGCTATGCTTGAATCTTTTTTAAAACAACTAGGAAAAGAACTGAACGAAATAAGAATCATCGTCGAAGAGCTTCAGGAAATCATGTCAATCCAGTATCCACACAAATGGCACATAGCAAGTGATCGAATAAAAAAGTGAAGAAGTGGAAAGTAATGCACGAGTTTTGGTGACAGACTAGGACAAGAATAAAGTTAAAGTTGGTAATTGATTCTTTACATTGGAATCAAGAGCATGAAAGCTTGAGAAAATTGTTTTGAGGTACTAATTTTTTTTTAATTAGAACGAACAGAGCATTTCTTTAATAAAAATTTGAACTTAGATGATGAATGTTGTATGCAAAAAAACGTTTTTCGTAATCCTTGTCAAAGTGTTTTTTGTTTAAATTAAATTGTTTTATAATGAAAGGTACCAAAAGTTAAAAACTCTTAAACAAATGTTCAGATTTTAATTTTTACCATGGTTAGGGAAGTCTTTTCTCCACCTTTACAATAATATATCTCAAAAATATGAGGTGTTATTTAGAATTAAAGAGATAAAACCTAAAATGTTATAATCAATTTTGGTTTTAAACTTTCTCTTTGCAATCCTAAGTAATGAAGTAATCACATGTTTTTGATTGAACATAAGTATAAATCTTTACCCTGGATCAAAGTTATTGAGACTGTCGTATTTTGAAATGAAAGCACTGTACGTATTGTGAAGTGATAAATGAGATCATTACAACTTATCTACGACATTTTCTTGATGACTTCAAAATGAATCAGCTGAATTAAAAAGCAACAAAATAATTTAACCGATGTGATGGCACACCTGGGTGTGAATCATTCATTCATAGCGACTAGTCCTTGTCGTTAAGCCTATTTGAATCCTTGTCGATGACAATAAAAAGTTTCTTTGTAATTATTTACTCATTTATTTTATTTCCATCGATATAACACTATACAATATGCCCGAACGTATTATTTGTAAGCTGAGCTACTACACAACCTCGAATTGCTGTCTCCAAACCAAAAAAACGCACACATTTAAAGGATATGCAAGTTAACACTGAGCGAATCTCACAAACAAATATGATATGCTTATAATATTAAATGCAAATCGAATGTTTTTGCTTAATATGTTTAATATATTTACTTTAACGATTATAACTTGAAAACATTGTAGCCAGCTACAAATAATTTTATAAAAAATCCGCCAAGATCTAACAAATGTGATAAAGGAGACAACGTACTACGAAAATCTAATCTACAGATCATGTAAAATCTAGTTATTACATAATGTCATACTCTTGGGGCTTATCCGGATCGATCAAGTCCAGTGTGCGCAACTTCACTGTTTTGGACCAACGAGGATAAACCCGAGAGAATCGCTTGCTATAAACTAAAAATTCTACAAAGGCACAACGGAGTACGTTTAGAAAGTTACATTCAACAATTGGTGCCCGCTCGGAAGATGAGAGAATTGTATGATTTAGCACCAATGGACAAAGTTGCGCACATGCTGATGGTTGGGGTTTTGAATCAGTGTGCATTTGTAGAATTTTTGGGCTATGGCGAGTTTACAATTCTCTGGAAACGTTATTACAAACATTCGTTGCTCTAACAATCGATGAACAACCCACAATCTAACAATAAGTTGACGAAACGGTTACAGAGAGGAGTGCAGGAGCAGGATTACAATAATATTGTCATTTTACAATTGGTAAAAGTACTACAGAAGAGGGAAAGAGGATGTGTTCGCTTAGCCCCTTATATGTCTCACTCTATCCCATAACAAAACGTCTAATAACGAGTACACTGAGTAACTTATACATCCAATTAACAACTAGGCTAAACATAACAAAGGTACTTCCCACAAGTACCTGGCCCTAGGCAGTGGAGTAACACACCTTTTATGCAGGTATATTGCTTTGACCTGTCTGCCTTTGACGATACAAAAACAAACAGTCGTTTAATCAGAGCGTTTACATATCGCCAAATATTCCAGCGAATGTTTTTCTTAAATTTTTCATTGTGTCTTCGGTGTCTTCAGTAGATTGTTGTTGACTGCCTTGACGTTGGAATGGTCGAGGTGGAGGATCTGGAAGACGGCCAGTGCTGGGACCACTGCTACTAACCGTACTGCTCTGGGATACTGAAACATAACATAAGTGTGTTTACAGAAAAATTAAACACTTGTTATAATAATTTCTAACACATCAAATACATGGGTAACTCACTGTACTAAAACTGATAAAAAAAATTTCTATACCAAAAAAACTAAAAAAAAAATAATTTTTGGCTTGAATTTTTTTTCGTGGTACATTCAAGAGGATATCTTAAAGTAAATATGTACAACTTCGATTCAAGTTTAAAGAATTCAAGTTAAGAAACGAGTGGTATTATCCATTCACGAAGCTGCTGCCGCTAAGTAATATAACGAAGGCGAGGGTGACAGGTACCAGTGCACCCAAAACATTTCGTCCTCGATTTAGCTTGGGTGACGACACTTCTTCATCCGATGAATATTCTCATACATAATTATTATTAGCCGTAGGATATTAGGTACATGTATCGTATTTTTATTATTTCATTTTATAAAACGAATATTTGTTAAATATTTTTAAATAAATTTTAAAATTTGAGTCGTTACATTTTTGTTACCACTGATCCGGAATTTTGCTTCTCATTTAAAAGTTTTACGTCACTATCTTCCTCTTACTCCGACAACATACAGTGACATGGAAAAACAAGAATATACATATTGAGTAGGTACCGAAAACCGATTTTCACAAGACACGAGCGTTCGGTTTGAGAGTGATTACGAAGATTTACAAGAGGTACGGTTTATGGTTTAGCGGCAAATGCTTCGTGAATGGATAATACAGCCACGAGTTATTTTAAAGAAGGAGTGCTTCAAGGTCTTATGAAACAATTTTTTTTTATACAATTTTTGGTAATTTGCTTATTTTCTGCCGTTTTCAAACAATCTTTTTTATTTTAATCGATTTAAGGATTGTTGTGACGATTGGTAATGTCAATTTTAAAAGTCAAAATTTGATCTAGTTGTCTTTTGTTTTATCTAAATTCTTTCAAAAACACGAATATGGTTATCAAAATTTTCCACTGGACATTTCTTGTTCTTGACACATTTTGTCATAAACTGAGATGAATGATACGTCCAACGCCATCTCGATAGAAATAATCTTTTTCTCGCCTGGACATTTTTTGAGTTCAACTGATCCCGTTGGCGTTGGCTTTAATCTGAGAATTTTTTTTGACACATTCAGTTTTTTAGCTTAAAGGGTGCAACCTCATAATAGTCATAATATCAGTTCTCTCTGGCGTATCTTGTTTTGTTGTATTTTTCCTTCCCAGCTTTTATTATAGTCGTCAGCAAGAATATTTGAGATTGACGTATGCAAAGCTTTATTGAGGGTTAAGCAGCCCTTGCGGTCGGCCGTAATAAGTTTTCACTGCTGGTGGTACTACCCTGAAGATTTACAAAAGAGCCGTATTCAGGTATTTTCGTGGTAGGCTTTTAATTTATTACAGGCAAACATTTGGGAATTTGTATATTAATTTAATATTAAAGTGATAATGCAGATTTGTAAAAAACAATCTCAAAATACAGCTGAATATTAAAATTAATTTAATTTTTTTTGATGAAAGCCCAAAAACAAATTTCTGTTACGAACCATCTCTTCCTACAAACCTTTGAAACGTGCCTGTCCTAAGAAATGCAAATTTTTTTATGGCATCTCTACCGCAAGCCCCATGAACCACCGTGGGGGGTAATCGTCTTATTCTATAATGAGTCTCAAATATTGTTGGTACCAACTATAATTGCGTTATTTTTCGTTAATAATTAACAATTATTCAGTTTTTCCTTAGTAAGCCTCGTAACTAAGAAAACATGTGGAATCACTGCTCCAATGCATGTTTTAGAATACGGAATGCCTAGGCGGGATATTGATACTTACATAAAAATTTTCGTAAAATGTTCCGTCAATTAATGACTATTAAAACATCGCACATGATAATGTCGCGTTCTTTAATATGTCTATTATACAATCAAAATGGAGGCATATTAAAAAGATACGTTTTACGACGTTTTAGGATCGAAAAACTGCATACCACCGTAACTGTAGTAACAGGCAGTGTTCCAAATATCTTGATATGTATTTTTTTTTTAATTATTGAGAGGTTTTCCAGAGGGGACAGGCTTCACTGTGAGGGTTAAACGGAGTTAAACAGAACATCAAAAGAACTAAAAATGGGTAATTTTTAATGGAAAATGTGCAAGAGTTGGCGAGTTAAAGACGGAGTTGAATAAAAATTTGTGAGGTATACCAAGTTGGTGGCCGAGTAAAACAAAAAATAAGAAAAAACGATCGAGTCATGAACGGGCCACACAGGAATAGTAGGAGGTACCAATTAGAAATTAGCCGAGTTTAATCAGAAAAAAAAAGGCTGGCTTTACTTGGAAATGGAAAAAGTAAACCAAGAATGGATCGGGATTAAAGAGAAAATTGAAGAGACCAATCAGGATATGGGAGGTTAAACCAGAAAATGGGACCAACTAATTAGAAATTGAGACAGTACAACTAAAAAAATCTAGGTTAAACCAAAATAAAAAGTAAACCAAAAAAAAACAAAAAATGAGAGAGACTAACTAGAAAGGTAGTGGACTTAATAAGTAAAAATGAGCAGCAAATGAGTAAATGACAACTTTTTGTATACAGGGTTTTTGTCTTCAGAAAAGTAGTTACTTTTCTGATTATTTAAATACAAATTATTAGTGAATGACATTTTTCTTTAAAAAATAGAAAGTAATAAATACATAATATGCGTGGAGCTTGTTCCATATTTGGTGGCGAACACACAGTGACAAAGAAGACACTTGGAAC